GTGAGGTGAGGTGAGGTGAAATTGGGTTTAACGTCGCGTCCAAGATTATTGCAGTTATATAGCGACGTGCATGCACGATTGTGTGTGGCTGCTTGTACTAGTCCGGACTGATGCCGATTTATAGTGCTAGCCAACTGAGATACCATGCCGCAGTTTAACATGAATACCTCACTCAGACACAGTATCCTGACTCCGAGCCGACCAGTCCCTGTTTTAGCCCCTTAATGCCGAGCGCCAGACAGGGTAACAACAAGTTCCACCTTTGAACGTCTTTTGGTATGACGCGGCTGGGGATCGAACCCCGGACCTTCCGCTCTACGGGCGGACGCTCTACCTCTAGACCACGGAGCCGGTCGTAACATGTAGGTACATGGATGCCGGTGACAGCAACCTGTTCAACATGATGCGGTGACTGGGTTTCTGTCTACCAATACAAGTGGCCGATGACACGTTGGCTATGATTGGAAGACAGATAAACATAAGCATTCATTGGTCCTTTGTATCTAATGAAAAACAATTGAAGAAAATGCGCATCAGCAGGATGTTTGCTATGGCCCCAGACATACTTTGTATCTCTTATCGTAGGTAAAGGATACTAGGCATGCCTACCACAATATTTGATTACCGCCTGTTGCCTGAAGCGCTAAGCTACCTGCGCGAACTAACAGTGGAACCAGCTTCATGATGTAAGATATATCGTCTAGAGCGTGTAAAGTGATAGTTTACATCGCGCCGGCTGTTTTCAAGCCACATGGACATGAATATGTAGAGGACAACCATGGGGGTGAAGACTGTGGCGTAATACACTTAAGAGACCTGAAAAGGTAATTTAGTATTTCATTTTCTAAAATCGAAAATGTATGAATACGGTATTTTCATGCAACATCTTATTGACAGTGCTTCAATTGTCTAATAACTCATCAAGGGGATAACACTGATCATATCCGTTAGGTTGGTTGGTTGGATGTTTTACGCCGCACTCAGCAATATTCCAGCTATATGACGGTGGTCTGTAAATAATCGAGTCCGGACCAGACAATCCAGTGATTAATATCATGAGCATCGATCCGCGCAATTGGGATCGATTACATGCATCAACAAAGTCAGCGAGCCTGACCACCCGATCCCGTTAGTCGCCTTTTACGACAAGCAAAGTCGCCTTTTACGGCAAGCATGGGTTGCTGAAGACCTATTCTATGCATTAGGAGACAAATTGAAAACACGCATTTGACCGTCGGCTGCCTAATGGTTTTCTATTATTTGTTTGTTTATTTGTTTGTTCTCTTCCAACCTACTCAGCCATAGCATGGTAGCGGTCTGTAAATAATCGCGTCTGTATCAGACAATCCAGTGATTGATATCATGATCATCGATCTACGCAATTGGGATACTATAATATGCATCAACCAAGTCAGCGAGCCAGACCACCCGATCTTGTTGGTCGCTTCTTACGACAAACTTTTTGTTGTTCCGTTACGAGATGATAGCGTGGTTACGATAAACAGTAAAGCTTTAATCATATGTTTTATGGACATTTCATTGTATTGCATGGCAGTTGACCAGCGTGGCAGCTTTCGCCAACTTTTTCCTCCAAACCCTTGATGACGTTTGTTTAATTCCCCGATAGATAGAGAAGAGATTATTTCAGCTATCAATAGGTTAAAGTTTTCCGCAGGTTATGATATAATATTATTGCGAAGATGAAGTGAGTGAGTGAGTATGGTTTTACGCCGCTTTTAGCAATATTCCAGCAATATCACGGCGGGGGACACCAGAAATGGGCTTCACTCATTGTAACCATGTTGGGAATCGAACTCGGGTCTTCGGCGTGACGAGCGAACGCTTGCGGATATGTAGACAATACTTTATTGATTATATGGTTAAGCTACAATTGTTTTTAAACGGTCGTTTCCCAAGTCAGTGGTCAACATGTATTATTGTACTGCTTAATACGTGTGGTGTAATTGATTGCCCCAGACAAATATCGGGGTATTAGTTTACTGTCGATATTTAGCAAATATGTATTAGTATTTTAAACATGAGGATCAGGAAGAGGGCTTACGTTAATGAAATACTCACTGAAGCACTGGCATGTTTGAAGATAATTTATTCACACTGTGTGCAGTTATTCAATAATATAATTCTACGAAAAAGAGTAACTTATATGTTGCTTCTGTTCGATTCGGTGTACAGGAAGCAGCTGTTATATCCTCCTCAAAATGTGGGAATAAATGGGAAGATGTTTCAGAGTGATGAGACTATTTTTTCGGTATTTATTATAAAACGTCAACGCCATAGAATAACCAGTCTCGATTATCCACCGAAACAGACTCCATTGGGTGAGTGAGTGAGTGAGTTGGGTTTAACGCCGCTTTTAACATTATTCCAGTTATATCACGGCATGTCAGCTTAATGTGGGAGGAAAGCCCGAAGTGGTGCAGGTCTCAGACGTTTACCACTTCGGTGAAACCCTCGAGCACGGGTATGGTGCTGACAAACCTAGAAACATAATCGGGGCGAACCGGGATTCGAACCCACAATCATAGGTTTCTGGCGTGTCCAGGGGACGCAACTCTGCACAGCGAATTGCGGCGCCTTAGACGACTGGGCCACCCGTGCCCCCCAGATTCCATTGGGCTGAAAAGGCAAAATGGTATATGAATGGGTCACTGAAAATCGGTGATGACACCAGGTGTCCTGCCCTACCTGTAGCATGCGCCACTCGCACAATTTGCATAAAAATGTCAATGTTTGTATCTGACGCCGCACGGCTGTACTCCCGCCATACAAACTGTGCCGCCTGTATATAAACCAGACACTCCAGTGAAACACAATACAGCATTGACTGACTTTGTTGAAACAAAAAACGATATGTTAAGTTTGAATTAAGTTTGCTGTGTGTAAGTGCAGAGATTCTGTGATTAGAAAAATATAAGTTGTACAACTTTGTTTGATTGTCCTGTGGGACTGAGACAATGACGTGTCTTAAGTCCAATTCTGTCTTATTCTCATAAATGAATTTGCTACAGAAGTTATACACGTATGCAATAGCAAGCAGTAGATATACCCATAAGGCATATGTAATGCTTTATACACGTATGTCATAGCAAGCAGTAGATATACCCATAAGGCATATGTAATGCTTTATACACGTATGCCATAGCAAGCAGTAGATATACCCATAAGGCATATTAATGCTTTATACACGTATGTCACAACTAGCAGTAGATATACCCATAAGGCATATGTAATGCTTTATACACGTATGTCATAGCAAGCAGTAGATATACCCATAAGGCATATTTAATGCTTTATACACGTATGCCATAGCAAGCAGTAGATATACCCATAAGGCATATTAATGCTTTATACACGTATGTCATAGCAAGCAGTAGATATACCCATAAGGCATATTTAATGCTTTATACACGTATGCCATAGCAAGCAGTAGCTATACCCATAAGGCATATTAATGCTTTATACACGTATGTCATAGCAAGCAGTAGATATACCCATAAGGCATATGTAATGCTTTATGCACGTATGCCATAGCAAGCAGTAGATGTACCCATAAGGCATATGTAATGCTTTATACATGTATGCCATAGCAAGCAGTAGATATACCCATAAGGCATATGTAATGCTTTATACACGTATGTCATAGGAAGCAGTAGATATACCTATTAGGCATATGTAATGCTTTATACACGTATGTCACAGCAAGCAGTAGATATACCCATAAGGCATATTAATGCTTTATACACGTATGTCATAGCAAGCAGTAGATATACCCATAAGGCATATTTAATGCTTTATACACGTATGCCATAGCAAGCAGTAGCTATACCCATAAGGCATATTAATGCTTTATACACGTATGTCATAGCAAGCAGTAGATATACCCATAAGGCATATGTAATGCTTTATGCACGTATGCCATAGCAAGCAGTAGATGTACCCATAAGGCATATGTAATGCTTTATACATGTATGCCATAGCAAGCAGTAGATATACCCATAAGGCATATGTAATGCTTTATACACGTATGTCATAGGAAGCAGTAGATATACCTATTAGGCATATGTAATGCTTTATACACGTATGTCACAGCAAGCAGTAGATATACCCATAAGGCATATGTAATGCTTTATACACGTATGTCATAGCAAGCAGTAGATATACCCATAAGGCATATGTAATGCTTTATACACGTATGCCATAGCAAGCAGTAGATATACCCATAAGGCATATGTAATGCTTTATACACGTATGTCTTGGATTGTGCAAATCGTCATACGTGGGCAACGTCTGTCAAGAATGTGTTGTTTAGTTTGTTTTGTTAGTATCTTCCAGGAAGTGGGCAGCGTTCAAATATTTCTGATGGATTTTAAACAAGGAGGTAAAGATATCTTAACCCAAGAGGGGTCAAGTAGTCTTCAATCTAGCTATAGGTTTGATTTATACTCGGCATAAAAGTTTAAGTAAGAACCTGAGTTATATATTATTGATTCTTTATTTGTTTTATATAGTCGCGAGTTGAGAAATTTCCGTACAGGAATGTCCAAGTTAGTTGTTTAGTTTAAAGTATTTGTTCTACGTGATTTACATTTGCTAGAGATAGAGTTTCATATTGTTATTATTTGTCCAGTTTATAAAGCCTTTGCGAACACCCGGTGTCATCATTGATTTTCAGTGATCCATTCATATAATATTGACCACCAATTTTACGCCCAATGGAATATGTTTCCGGCGGATGGTTCAATTGTACGCACGCACGCACGCACGCACGCATACACGTCCCATTATAATGTCAAACCCCATTTCACCGCACCTCCCTAGTCTCGTATATTATTGATGTTATTCATATCCTTCTGTATAGAGACCACATGTCACGTACAGAATTAACCAATTAAATTGAACTGAATTAAACTGAAGACCGCATCTGTCGACAGAACATTGATCACATATCAATACCATTGAATACCTAATTCATAACAATACACACGACCGAACCTCGAGGGAATACAGACTTTTCTCCTGAATGAGTTCTGGAGCACCATGTAAGCTTTGTTGTTGTCTGACTTAACAAAGCTGAAGTATAATTCTACTTGCCATGATATATATTTTGAAACAACATTTACTCGTAACCCCCTTCTTGTCATCCATAGACTACACTAACCATGCTAGGAGCAAGACCACGAGCAAGGCGATCCAAGGACAGTGAAAATGGTTACCAGTCACAATGGGATGGCGTGCTGCCTGTACCCAAACTCAGCTTCTCGGTGGCATCTGTCCTCGTCTTCTGTCTGGCGGTACTGTGTTTCGCGAACAGTCGTGATGGGGAGTTCGTGTTTGACGACTTGTGGGCCATCATCAACAACCGAGATGTATTACCCGAAACTTCACTCACCGCCGTATTTGCTCATGATTTCTGGGGACAGGTGTTGGATGAGAAAAGTCACAAGTCCTACAGACCACTTACTGTGATGACCTACAGGTATTGTATGTAACTAAACTGAACACAAAAAAGTTAGGAATCATGAATATATTTGGGTGGCTATTGTTTTCTAATGAAATCATAGCACACAATTTCATATTTCACATTACAAAATAATTCATGATTCCTAATGCTTTTGTTTTTATTTGTATATTAACGACTATTCATAGAACAAGGCTGTTTTCTGTTTTGCTCTCATTGTTGATTCTCTGTATGTTGATTCCAGTTGTAATGGGCAGTTTGAAAACATCAATAATTCTAACACTTGAACATGCGGGGTTTTCTACTTATCTTGTGAATGATACTCTCCAGGTGGAACTATGCCTGGGCAGGTGGCCTTCATCCTCGGGGCTTCCACGTTGTCAACATCGTCCTGCACGGCTTGGTGTCGGTCATCTTCCTGGCAGTCTTCTCTGTCCTCATGTCTGGTTACCAGGTGGACCAGGAATCTGCCAGACCGGTGTTTGCCTCGCCCCGAGCTTCTCTCCTGTGTGCTGTGTTGTTTGCTGTGCATCCCATTCACACTGAGAGTGTAAGTGAATAGTATTCCAGATTTCCACAGATGATTGTTGTTCTTTCATGTGACTGCCTGTACAGTTTTCTAAATGGTTAATGCGCTTATTCTTATTATGCACGTTACAACAACCAGATGGGGCGGTCGGGTAGCCTTGTGGTTAAAGCGTTCGCTCGTCACGCCGAAGACCAGGGTTCGATTCCCGACATGGGTACAATGTGTGAAGCCCAATTCTGGTGTCCCCCGCCGTGATATTGCTGGAATATTGCTAAAAGCGGCGTAAAACCATACTCACTCACTACAACAACCAGACCATCAACTGGGGCTACAGTCAAATAGGTTTATAATCACATTAAACCACAATAATGAGAGTTTAACATTTGACGTTCTTGTAATGATTGCAGTATGATGTACAATAGGATCAGAGAAGATGTGGTCAGAACCATCAGCACACATATATAGAGACAATACTCGGGAAATTCATAGTTTATCATGGTTAACACATCAGATGTCCTTGTTGTTGCAATGATACTGATTGCAGGGGGCGGTAGGGTAGTTTAGTGCTTACAGCGTTGGCTCGTCAAAGACCGGGCTCGATTTTCCACATGGGTACAATGTATGAAGCCAAATTCTAGTGTCCCCAGTCTCCATATTGTTGAAATATTTTTGAAAGAGGTGTCAAATACTCCCACTCTCTTATTTCTGAGGTATTGTGTTGGGCTGACCATCTGTGCTTTGACTGCGGCGTAAATAACATTCACTTCACTTCCGTAAGGCCGTAAATCACTTAATGTAATACATTAAGTGGTCTTGACCTTGCTGTGTTGCAGGTTGCTGGGGTCGTGGGTCGGGCTGACCTGCTCTGTGCCTTGACCTTCCTTCTATCATTCCTCCTGTATGCCAGGGCCTGCCTCTCGCGTAAGCTGTGATGCTCTGCAGTGCACATATATCATATGGATATGTTTCTCAATTATCTTTTATCATTATCAGTAGTAGTACAATGTAGTTGTATTAGTAGTAGTAGAAATAGTAGTAGTAGTAGTAGTAGTAGTAGTAGTAGATGAGGTGAGGTGAAATTGGGTTTAACGTCGCGTCCAAGATTATTGCACTTAAATAGCGACGTGCATGCACGTGTGGCTGCTTGTACTAGTCCGGACTGATGCCGATTTATAGTGCTAGCCAACTGAGATACCATGTCACACTTGACTACACATGGATACCTCACTCAGACACAGTATACTGACTCCGAGCCGACCAGTCCTTGTTTTAGCCCCTAAATGCCGAGCGCCAGACGGGGTAACAACAAGTACCATCTTTTAACGTCTTTTGGTATGACGCGGCCGGGGATCGAACCCCGGACCTTCCGCTCTCTCGGCGGACGCTCTACCTCTAGACCACGGAGGCGGTCAGTAGTTATCTGTAGCAGTAGTAGTAGTAGTAGTAGTAGTAGTAGTAGTAGTAGTAGTAGAAAAACTCACACAACCACCTGAACATATTCGACTGAAACTCAGCCACCACACTTCTGTTTTTAGATATTGCTGACGATTTCGCCTGTATACTGTTTGCGGATTTCTTTCAGAAAATAATCATGGTTTGTCGATGGGAATATATATGTAAAAAAAGAAAGAAAAAGTAAAACCTTTCCGATAATTGTTTCGTTCGCTGAAATGTTGTCTGAATCTGTTGCCCTGCGTACTGTGCTCGTTAAGTTTGTCTCGTCCGTCTTGCACCGCAAAGTATTGTATGCAAATGTTAGTGTGGTGGTAAACAAGTGAGCTTGCATTCAGCACAAGACAATATTTTGTTTTCCGGGTTTAATTCTTTTCACTTTAAGATCGGCAGAATCCTTAAGCAAATTGCAAAAAATGTCTGACATTTATTGGTATCGCATCTGCATTCAAACATTTATAGTCAATACACAACAGCTTAGAGTCTAACTAATTTCTTCATATTAAGTACTCTGAACGCATTACGATTTATACAAAACCATAGTCAAGTATAAATATGAGTGAAACGTTTTGTCTGTTCTTTTCAGCTTCATCCATAGTCGGTTACCGTCCCGAGTCCTTCTCCCTTGTGTCTCTACTGGCCAGTATGTGTCTGTGTGTCGTGTCCACCTTCTGTAAGGAGCAGGGCATCACTGTTATAGTAAGTGTATTCAGTGTTTCATCCCTGGTGAGTTACCGTCCCGAGTCCTTCTCCCTGGTGTCTCTACTGGCCAGTATGTGTCTGTGTGTCGTGTCCACCTTCTGTAAGGAGCAGAGCATCACTGTTATAGTAAGTGTATTCAGTGTTTCATCCCTGGTGAGTTACCGTCCCGAGTCCTTCTCCCTGGTCTGTACTGGCCAGTATGTGTCTGTGTGTCGTGTCCACCTTCTGTAAGGAGCAGGACATCACTGCCATAGTAAGTGTAGTCAGTGTTTAGTGTGTGTGTGTGTGTGTGTGTGTGTGTGTGTGTGTGTGTGTGTGTGTGTGTGTGTGTGTGTGTGTGTGTGTGTGTGTGTGTGTGTGTGTGTGTGTGTGTGTGTGTGTGTGTGTGTGTGTGATGTTTGGAGCGTCATTATGTTGATGTGATACATTTAAAGAGCGAACGTGATGAAAGTTGCAAAACTCGATACCGATAGATCTCTACAGCAGCTGTTTAGCCTCAATGACATCTCCTCTTCGTCTGAGAATCGCGGCCAGGTTGAGCATTGATTTGGTCTATAAGAAGAAAAAGATCGTGACAATGAATGATGTTTCAGGACATTATAAGGTGAGGGGAAATTTGGCTCAACGTTGCGTCCAAGATTATTGCACTTATATAGCGACATGCATGCACGTGTGTGTGTGTGTCTGTGTGTATCGGTGTGTCTGTGTGTGTGTGTGTGTCGGTGTGTGTGTCTGTGTGTGTGTCGGTGTGTGTGTCTGTGTGTGTGTGTGTGTGTGTGTCTGTGTGTGTGTGTGTGTCTGTGTGTCTGTGTGTGTCGATGTGTCTGTGTGTGTATGTCTGTGTGTGTGTATCGGTGTGTCTGTGTGTGTGTGTCTGTGTGTGTCGGTGTGTGTGTCTGTGTGTGTGTGTCTGTGTGTCTGTATGTGTGTGTGTCTGTGTGTGTGTGTGTCTGTGTGTCTGTCTGTGTCTGTGTGTGTCGGTGTGTGTGTGTGGGTCTGTGTGTGTGTCTGTGTGTGTGTGTGTCTGTGTGTGTCTGTGTGTGTGTCGGTGTGTGTGTGTCTGTGTGTGTGTGTCTGTGTCTCCCCTTCATCTATAGTTCGTGTCTTTGCCCCTATAATAAACAATGTTCAACATTCATCTTTGCGAAGACCAGCCGAACTGTAAACTGTAAACTATGCAATGTAACATATGTTATGTATTTACAGGGTGTCTGCAGTGTGTTTGACATCATCGTTGTGTGTAGGGTGGATCCTTTCCAATGGCTGTCACATAAGCACTACATGTTCAACAAACAGGTTGTCAAGGTAAAATAGAACGACAACATTACCTACAATATTGTGGAATATTTGATAAGCTTTGTTTGTTTGTTGTTTAACGGCGCAATATTCCAGCTATATGACGGCAGTCTGTAAATATTTCATTCTCGACCAGACAATCCAGACAATACTATTATGACCAACGACCCACAACGTTCGCAATCACTGATTCTGACCACCCAATCCATTCGGTCGCCTCCTTCGACCAACAGAGGTTGTGGGGACCTATCCTAACCCGTCATTTCTAAGAGGGAAAGTACAAGTGCGCCAGAATATTGTCATCAATAATAATTTAAGTTTTAAGATTGGAGTGAGTGAGTGAGTGAATAAGTTGGGTTTAACAGTATTCCAGTTTTATCACAGCGTGTCAGCTTGTAAGGAAAACCCAAAGTCTCAGACGTTTACCATTTTGGTGAAACCCGCAAGCACGGGTATGGTGCTGACAAACCTGGAAACATAATCGGGGCGAACAGGGAATCGAACCCACAAGCAAAGGTGTCGTTATAATAAACATGTTACACAGATGCACCATTTGATATTTTTCACTGGTTTGTTATGTTGAAATAAATGCGAGTATCAGGGTGAGTACATATTTTTGGTAGCGTGATGATCAACGGTGTATTTGAGGAAATACTGATTTGAGTTTCTTTTACCGCGAACTAATATTCAATCACTGAATTATTACTTCTTTACGAAAGGGAAGTCGAGACGACCGCATTGACACTTACCAATTGAAAGGAGAGATATAATATAAAAACATACATTTTCTACTGCAAGTACACGTAGATCTAGTAAGACTTTGTTAAAAGTATTGTAAGGCTACATGATTGATCAGAACATGGTCTCCAGGAGCGCTCCGATATTTCCACTTCAGGCACGCTTGCAACCATGGATGAGGAGTCTCATCAAGCGTCACCTCATCCTCCTCCTGGCCGGCGTGTCTCTCCTCATCACTCGAATATGGATCATGGGATCTACAACACCCATATTCTCAGATGGTGACAATCCGCACTCTTTAGTAAATGGAAGTGTATTGAAAGTGAGTATGGCAAGCTAGTAGATTTATGCTGATATGTAGTGAGTGAGTTGGGTTTAACGCCGCTTTTAACAGTATTACAGTTATATCACGGCGTGTCAGCTTAATGTGGGTGGAAAGCCCGAAGTGATGCAGGTCTTACACGTTTACCACTTCGGTGAAACCCTAGAGCACGGGTATGGTGCTGACAAACCTAGAAACATAATTGGGCCGACCCGGATTCGAACCAATAATCATAGGTTTCTGGAATGCCTGAGGGACACAACTCTGCGCAGCGAATCGCGGTACCTTAGACGACTGTGCCCCATGCTGATATATAACAGTGAACGTCTAACCATATGTCTTTGGAAACTCAAATGTTAAAAATATACCCTGCTAGTTATTGAAAACCTGAAATTCTGCCCAAAACAACGTAAAACCCAACTTTCGCTCTTAATTGTGTAGTTACATACTTGGAGGCTCATTTATCACACATCATTTGTTTGTTGGGTGTGTTGGAAAACCATGTTTTGCTCCTCCTTGCAGACATAAACATGGTATGTCTTGAAACGTTTCTATCTCAAACCAAAAATCCCATGCCCCAAGAATAGTAAATGGGTAGTCCCCATAACATAGACATGCAATAAACGCAGGGCCACAGTGTCTTCAACAACATCCTGTTCCACTTAAGGGGGCACGGTCGTCTAAGGCGCCGCAATTCGCTTTGCAGAGTTGCGTCCCTTGGGCACGCCAGAAACCTATGATTGTGGGTTCGAATCCCGGTCCGCCCCGATTATGTTTCTAGGTTTGTCAGCACCATACCCGTGCTCGTGGGTTTCACCGAAGTGGGAAACGTCTAAGACCTGCATCACTTCGGGCTTTCCTCCCACATTAAGCTGACATGCCGTGATATAACTGGAAAACTGTTCAAAGCTGCGTTAAACCAAACTGACTCACTCACTTTTACACTTATGTTCATAGGTCTTGAACTACAACTATCTCTATGCAATGAACACTTGGATCCTTTTAAACCCGTGGTGGCTGTGTTTTGATTGGTCGATGGGCTGTATACCTGTCATCACCTCATTGGCTGATCCCAGAATACTGGCAGACCTATCTCTCTGGGCTGTCTTTGGTGTGTTACTATTCCATTGTTGGAATGGTGATCTCAACAGTATCCGCCGGTGAGATGTTTTAATTGACTTTGGGGTTGAAGGGTATGTTCGAAACAGACTGTTGTTTTTGTCGCTGTTTTAAGGCATGCAATAGTTTTGACAGTGTTTTTCAAGACATTCAATGAACGTATTTCTTTTGAATCTATATAGATCTTTATTCCTAAAGAATGTAGACATCCGGTCCAGGTTCATACAGGTCGTCAGTCTGTATATAATAAATATAACAATATATATATTCAGTCAACATGGATCTTTCTAAAGCCATTTTCATGGTAAATATACATAGCCAGGTGTCTAAGATCATTCGTATCCTGACCGCCTCCGTGGTCTAGTAGTAGAGTGTCCGCCTGGAGGGCGGAAGGTCCTGTGTTCGATCCCCGGCCGCGTCATGTTAAACTGCGGCATGGTATCTAAGGGGGTAGCACTATAAATCGGCATCAGTCTGGACTAGTTCAAGCAGCATCACACACACACACACACACACGCACGCACGCACGCACGCACGCACGCACGCAAACACACACGCACACATGTCCATGCACGTCGCTTTATAAGTGCAATAATCGTAAACCCCATTTCACCTCACCTCATTCGTATCCGTTGTATTTTTACTAGTAAAGGGTATGATATAAATTCAGTAGGTATGTTTGTTTGTTGTTTAACGCCGCACTCAGCAATATTCTAGCTATATGACGGCGGTCTGTAAATAATCGAGTCTGGATCAGACAATCCAGTAATTGACATCACGAGCATCGAACTACGCAATTAAGATACGATGACATTCATCAACCAAATCAGTGAGCCTGACCACCTGATCCCGGTAAGTCGCCTCTTACGACACAAACCATCAAAATATGGTACTTATCTTCAACGTAACCTTAATTACAAAGCCTTTTATTTCCAGGAATATTTCTTTTGTAAAGTCCAGGACATTATTACTGTTGTATTTTGTGGAAGGTACAGAATATCACCTAAACGCGGTATAAAATTGTAACAATACCATACATGACTGTATAAACAAGCTTTACTACATTTTACCGTTTCTTTCTCTTTAGCATCCTGATAATTTCACTAGCCATGATTGGGATTCCCTTCCTGCCCGCCAGCAACCTGTTTTTCCGTGTGGGCTTCGTGATCGCAGAGAGGATCCTGTACCTGTCCTGTGCTGGCTTCTGTATGTTGGTGGTGCTCGGGGCAAGGCAGATCTGTTTTCACTTCCACTCAACTGCTAAACAGGTAGCTTCTAATATACGTACACGTTATAATATTGCATATTTCAAACTTGAAGTGTGATAACATTTATTGATATACATATTCACATTGATTGATTGATTTATTTTTTTATATAGCCCTAATTAAGTACTAATCACCTCTTGGGGCGGTCGGGTAGCCTAGTGGTTAAAAGCGTTCGCTCGTCACGCCGAAGACCCGGGTTCGATTCCCGACATGGGTACAATGTGTGAAGCCCATTTCTGGTGTCCCCCGCCGTGACATTGCTGGAATATTGCTAAAAGCGGCGTAAAACAATACTCACTCTTCACCTCTTGGCCAAAATAAAGCATAACATATTTGATATATGAAGCAGGGAATATGATAAATATCGACCAAGGTCCCTTCTTTCTCTGTTGTAAAGTTAAACATTGATCCTAATTTCTCTGAACTGACATGATGTTGAATTCAGGTATGTGTAAAATAAATATCTTCATGATTAATTCAGGGGAGCGATGTACTACATTTTTCTGTGCCTTTTGCTTTGCAGAAAAATACAACTGTGTATGTGTATTCACCTTCCAGTGCCTTTGTCTGTATTACAGATAGTTACAGCTGGCTTCACGTTCCTCATAGTTATATTTGCTCTTCGGTCAATACAGGTAGGTGAACATTTATAATAATTGTCAGAATCATTTGACCGTGTGCTCGAATTAATCATTTTCTTGGTTATGATTCCTGGTTTGTTCGCATCATATCCATGGTTTCACCAAAACCCAGAGTCATCCATTACTTGGGATTTTCTTCCAACATAAACCTGACGTTTAAAGTTAAAAGTGGCGTTTAACCTAACTCACTCACATATAATTACATGAACATCCTACCCAACACAATTCCTACCCATCCAGCTACTAAGTGTCACTATCGAACTACAGATCCACTGTGACTGTCTCATCCCAATCAGACTACCTACAGCTTGACAATTCAGTTAACCATACAGTTAACCATTCCACATCCATCAAAATCACCGACCTCATTTGTCTTAGCAATCTTGTTAACCAAGTTCATCGTGGGTCTACATGTAATTTCCTATCACCGCCCCTGACTTTCCTTCCATCCTACCTCCATGTACCTCCCACGCCCTCACTGTACATGGATCATGGGTCATATTCACCTTCTCCAGTCTCCTTCATTATCCACCTCCTCCTAGCTTCACCGTTACTCACCCATCACTGACATCCTTTTCTATCCATGAACTTACTATGAAATAACTTGGCCCACCCTACCTCTCACACCATCTATCAACCCCAACTTTCCCCTCTATCTGTTAATCCCCTTCTTATCAACTCAACCATCCCCTTTCGTTTCTCTCCCTAACAATCTATTCTAACCTCCCTCCATATGAAATCAACCACCCCTATTCTCTCCATTGACACCTATCCCAACCTCCCTAATTATCAAAACACACAACCCTTTCTCTCTTCCTCGACACCTATCCCAAACCCCAACCCTATCAAAATACACAACCCGTTCTCTCTTCCTCGACACCTATCCAACCCCCTCCCTATCAAAACACACAATCTTTTCCTTATTTTCTGTCATTTGATTTATTAACTGTAAATAAGCATACATGTAAATCTATGGGAGAGGGCGTTCTAAGTTGTGATAACTTGTGCCCAATCCTTTTCATGAGAATAAAATATGTTTAAACAAAACTAATCTTTTCTCTCTTCCTCGTCTTGGTTGAGCGTCCGCCCGGGGAGCGGAAGGTCCGGGGTTCGTTCCCCGACCGCGTCATACCAAAAGACGTTAAAAGATGGTACTAATACAATGGAGCTAAAACAAGGAATTAGTATACTGTGTCTGAGTGGGGTATTCATGTTAAACTGCGGCATGGTATCCCAGTGAGCTAGCACTCTAAATCGGCATCAGTCCGGACTAGTACAAGCAGCCACACTCACACGTGCATGCATATATAAGTGACATAATCTTGGACGTTAAACCCAATTTCACCTCACCTCACCTCACCTCACCTCACCTCACCTCACCTCACCTCACCTCACCCTATCAAAACATCCAAACTTGTCTCTCTTCCTAGACACCTATCCCATACTCACTCCCTATCCAACCCTTTCTCTCTTCGTCAACATTTGTATCAACCTCCCTCTTTATCAAAACATCCAACCTTTTCTCTCTTCCTGGACACCTATTCCAAACTCACTCCCTATCCAATCCTTTCTCTCTTCGTCAACATTTGTATCAACCGCCCTCTTTATCAAAACATCCAATCCTTTACCACCCTAACCTATCCCCATCGCCCTCCTTATGAAAACACACAACTCAGTCTCTGGTCATATATCCCCCCCCCCCCCCCTACCCCCCAACCACCCCACCCCCTCCAAAACACCTGTATGTGCCTCCACCCACACTTCTTATTCTAATTACCTTCTTTTGTTTTTCCCCGTTCACTTCCCTCTACGGGTGAATAAAATCATGATGATATGATCAAGGTTTCAATATCTCGTGGTCTTTAGTTTAGGATAAAATGTTCCATCAGGCTGCTATATTTCCAGAGAAACAACGACTGGAGATCTCGCATTGCATTGTTCACATCAGGCGATAAAGTATGCCCAGAGAATGCAAAGGTAGGCTTGACAGTTTTGTCTGACGACTTTCGTATTACATACGACTGACCATCTTCGTTTCCCTTTGTTCACATTGTTAGAAAACAGATATAGATTTGGAAGGAATAACCGTTGCATATTCTGTTGACTGATGGATTAATGGATTTGATTCAGTGCACATTATTTTTTAAATAATTATTTTCTGGGATACATTTATCCATTTATACATAATACATTGTATTTCTTCTATATTTCAGAAAGCAGTTATTTGATGAAAGAAATTCTTATTCACATGAATATAAGTCTAATTTAATTTTCCAATGGTCTATGGGTGGTACGTCTACGATAATTTAGGCTGTCAGCATTATTTATCTGAAATACCTTTCAAAGCTGCCTTAAACCCAACTGAATGGTTCCACTAGTCACCAACAGTTTCACTTGCAAAGCTGAAACATTTGCAATAATCATGAAACTTTTCATCGTAAAGTGTACTTTGTTTTCCATAAATTTCAATTTGCTTTCATGATGCAATTATGTAGTTTTAAATATGGCACATTGGTTTTTTTATTATAGATTCAATTTGGACTCGGCGGCTATCATGAAGCAATCAACAATACAGACTATGCCATGATGAAATACAGGCGAGCCATCGAGTATGTACCGAATATTTAAGCTGGTTAAAAGAAACGCAGAGAAAACATCGGATGTTCATTAACATCACGTGTTTTGTTTTATGCCTTTGTATGATCAATGTATGAGAGACATAGTGTGTGTCCCCGGCCGCGTCATACCAAAAGACGTTAAAAGATGGTACTTGTTGTTACCCTGTCTGACGCTCGGCATTAAGGGGCTAAAACAAGGACTGGTCGGCTCGGAGATAGTATCCAGTGTCTGAGTAAGGGTATCCATGTTAAACTGCGGCACGCACGCGCGCACACACGCACACACGCACACACACACACACACACACACACACACACACACACACACACACACACACACACACGTGCATGCATGTCGCTATATAAGTGCAATAATCTTGGACGCGACGTTGAACCAAATTTCCCCTCACCTTATAATGTCCTGAAACATTATTCATTGTCACGATCTCGTTCTCCTAACAGACTGAATCCCATCGATGCCAAATCAATGCTCAACCTGGCCGTGATTCTCAGACGAAGAGGAGATGTCATTGAGGCTAAACAGCTGCTGGAGAGATCTATCAGTATCAAGTATTGCAATTTTTATCACGTTCTCTCTTTAAACGTATTACATCAACATCATGACATCACTGTACATCATTAATATCAGTTTGTCAGTAAGCAGACATTCATCATGAGGAGACGATTGAAACTCTTTTCTAAATGTTAGCATTTTGCCACACTCTCCTAACCAGAGTTCCATGCGGCCGGCAGCTAGCCAGCATAGTACCTCTGCCACAGGTTTAGCGCCATGTGACGATTCGTCACATCTTTCACAGTCCATTCAAGATATTGAATACGCTTTTCATCCGTTTCATGTTTGACAAGTCTACACATTTTCATAAACAAATGTCAAAGAATGGTTACGGTTCAGTAAGAAAGAATCCTAAAACGTGAACATCTACTTGTTTTTGCGTAGTTATCCTTTGTTTGCATTGGTTGTACGTCTCCACGTGCTGTTATCGAAGCCCAACGGAGAGCTAGCGATACGGTCACTTTGATGTATAAATATATATAGTCATGCAACTCACTGTCGCATCTGTAGTTGCATATCTATATAATTATGCAAAACAATATGTAAAGCTCCCCCAAATATTTGCATTAGTCCGTTCTATACTGATTTCTGAAAAGCGCATTTGTTTACTAACAAGAGAAAAGTCCGGTCACATGATATTCAAATTAGCCTGTGGCAGTGGTGTTATGCTGAGTCACCACTGCACCGGAGTGTGATTTTACCAATGAAAACAATCCACCAATCACTGTTTAAGTACCTTCACATCCTTGCCGATACCTAAATGTTCACCTTATACGATCACCCTTTATTGACAGTTCGCATAGTGCGGTTGCATGGATGAACCTGGCTGTTGTGCACTCCGAGCTGAACAGGACTGATTTGGCCGAGGCCAACTTTCTTGAGTCTATTCGACAAAACGATACCTACTCAGACTGCTACTTTAACCTAGGTAATCTGGTAAGTATTTGCATGATATACTCTGAGTGATAGCCCTAAATCAATCATATTAACATATTCAATACAGTGAAGCATTATCAGACAAGTACAGCATGTCACTGATTGTAGACACTGCTGCCCGTTCTTCAGCATACGTCTCTGTAAAGTCATGATGTTTTAACTGTATAACTACTCCTTATAACTTAATTATATATTTGTTCATGCTTTACGTTCTCAATCACAAATGTTGATGATCATCAGAGTGTGTGAGTATGGTTTTACGCCGCTTTTAGCAATATTCCAGCAATATCACGGCGGGGGACACCAGAAATGGGCTTCACACATTATACCCATGTCGGGATTCGAACCCGAATTCGGGGTGAAGGGGGAACGCTTTAACCACTAGGCTACCCGACCGCCCCGGATAATCATCAGAGATTTAATCCAGATAGACTCCTTTTTAAAATCCTTTTTTAAGTGTTATTCATTCCGTTCTTTTCGTGAATACATGCATACACACCTCTGCACATGATGTTACGTCACTCAGCAAAAAACCGCAATAATGTTGATGTTTAAGATTGAGAACAATCCTCTAAGGTTATAAGTAAAATTCGTAATACTTCAAGGGTGATGTCGGTTGTATTCCGTTTTCTGTTCGAAAGATTATTGTCGTACACAATTGCTACCACCATTAGACTCGTGAAGATCCGGGGTAGAATAGGTCTTCACCAACCCATGCTTGCCGTAAAAGGCGTCTCTGCTTGTCGTAAGAGGCGACTAACGGGATCGGGTGGTCAGGCTCGCTGACATGGTTGATGCATGTCATTGATCCCAATTGCGTGGGTCGATGCTCATGATGTCAATCACTGGATTGTCTGGTCCAGACTCGATTATTTACAGACCGCCGTCATATAGCTGGAATATTGCTGAGGGCGGCGTCATAAAACAAACAAAGAAATAACGCTACGGCCATTGTCATTGCCAAACTCATTTCACATCACACTTTCCTTTTCTCTTTTCCTTGAAAGGGCATTTCTCCGCACCGAAGACATTCATAACTGGTTGAACGCTTATGTATATTTCTAATAGCCGTTGCACCTATAGTTTTTATCGTAAAAGTACACTTGTCGATAATTTCACACAAAAACATCCACAGAAATATTGTTGCCTTCGTTGTGGTGGTCGTAACATGTGTGTAACATTCTTATCCATGATACACGTAGAATAGTTTATGCTTCTTCTTGTGTTCAAGTCTTGAAAGTATTAACTTAATGGGATTCTTGAGGGTTCCGGGTTAGAACTGGTCTCCAACAAACTATGCTTGCCGTAAGAGGCGATTAAAGGGATCGGGTGGTCAGGCTTGCTGACTTTGTTGATGCATGTCATCGTATCCCAATTGCGTAGATCAATAATCATTGTGTCAATCACTGGATTGTCTGGCCCAGACTCGATTATTTACAAACTGCTGTCATATAGCTGGAATATGCTGAGAGCGGCGTTAAACAACAAATACACAGCTTCAGTACCTTCGTTATGACAGTCGTTACCTTAATGTTTTATTAGTATCGAGACACGGGACGGCCGACAGAGGCGGTCGGTGCGTGGGGGAATGCTACACATATTTACCCCCACTACACGTCAGCCTGGAAAAACTCCATCCTGCTTCTTGATGATCTGGGTAAGACATAAATAACGTGAACACATATTTTTATTTTCATGACTTTATGTGAATGAAAAATCATTTTTAGTTTTAATAAAAACTATGTCTCCCAAGCCAGTCATCCTTTAAGAAATAACCTATTTCGTGTCTCTTAAGTACAGATATCTTTTGAAGCCATACAAATGGTCGCAAATCTAGTATGCTTTCTCTCATTCAGGGAAGTACGACCATGCTATTGAGGTTGGTAAGGAAGCACTGAAGGCACTTCCTCGTGACACAGACCTGATATTCCGCCTGGCCAATATTTACATCCTGGCAGATAAGTACAAGGAGAGTGAGGACCTCTTCCTGGCTGGTATACAGATAGACGAACACAGCGCCCGATTCCATCACAATCTAGGTAATATTGCTTGAGTTTGTTGAAGCATTTTCATGGGGAAATAATTGCACAATATTCTCTGCGCTGAGCTGATGATTTTTAAATGTAACCAGCACCGACTCCTAATAACTTCTCACGCATTTTGAGAGCTCCCCCATGTATGTCTCCATTTTAATTTCGAATTTCATCTCTAGGTGAGTATTGCACGGTTTGATCAGACATATTGTGTTTATAACATTGTTTTACACTTTTTAATATGATTTTATCATAACCTTGAGTTTAACGCATCAATTGATTTCGAGTTTCTTGATGTTATCTGCTGGTATTCGAACATCCTGTTCTTTTGGCTTGTTGGTTAAGTCACTGTTTTTCTCTCTTCCCAGGTGTATTGTATCATCGATGGGGAAGGAATGAGAAAGCCGAAGCAGCCTTCGCGAGAGCAGTTAAACTAAACCCAAATGATGCGACGTACCTTAAAAACCTGCGGTTGATTCAAGCAAAAATTAGGCCTAACGTATAGGCCATACTCAACAAGACCATACCATGTCCACACAACACGAACAGTTAAAACTAGCTGTGATTATGTACCTCACAACTAAGCATGGTCAGTATCATGATGTCATTGATGTCACAAGGCGATGTGCAGAACAGTGTGTTTGTGAAGTATTGGAATAAACTAATCAATAATCAAGATCGTCAATAATGATCGTCAGGATTATGTTTCGGAGTGAGTGAATGAGCTTTCAACAGTATTCCAGTTATATCACGGCGTGTCAGCTAATGTGGGAGGAAAGCCCGAAGTCATGCAAGTCTCAGACCTTTACCACTTTAGTTAAACCCACGAGCACGTGTATGGTGCTGAAAAACCGAAGAACATAATCGGGTTGTACCCGGATTAAAATCCACAATCATAGGTTTCTGGTGTGCCAAAGGGACGCAACTCTGCACAGCGAAGTGCGGCGCCTTATAAACCTTGGCCACCCGTGCCCCATTATGTTTCTGAGGATTGCTAGACCAGGGAAGAATAAATGTGCACATATTTGTCATAATTGGTTCTTCTGTTTAATGCGAGGAACCTCTCTGGTATTAAAGCTAGATTTGGTTCCAGTGAGTAGGTGTGGTTTAATGCTTGGTTTGTCGTGTGAAGACCCTGCAATAATTATAAATACACTGTATTTTATTTTACCACATCGCATGGCAAGATGAAAGGACACAACAACAGGGGATGTTATTACTCGCCTGGAAGTTACAGAGGTACTCTCATGTATTTCCCAATGTTATCGTGGGGAATGGACAAAGCAAGTATCGCACAAAATACATGTATGTATTATACTTGTATATATTCTACAAAGTACTTGTATATGTTCCACAAAGTACTTGTATGTGATCCACAAAGTACTTGTATGTGTTCCACAAAGTACTCGTATGTGTTCCACAAAGTACTTGCATGTGTTCCACAAAGTACTTGTATGTGTTCCACAAAGTACTTGTATATGTTCCACAAAGTACTTGTATATGTTCCATAAAGTACTTGTATATGTTTCACAAAGTACTTGTATGTGTTGCACAAAGTACTCGTATGTGTTTCACAAAGTACTTGTATGTGTTCCTCGAAGTACTTGTATATGTTCCACAGAGTACTTGTATGTGATCCACAAAGTACTTGTATATGTCCCACAAAGTACTTGTATGGGTTCCACAAAGTACTTGTATGTGATCCATAGAGTACGTGTATATGTTCCACAAAGTACTTGTATGTGTTCCACAAAGTACTTGTATGTGTTCCACAAAGTACTTGTATATGTCCCACAAAGTACTCGTATGTGTTCCACAAAGTACTTGTATGTGTTCCACAAAGTACTTGTATGTGTTCCACAATGTACTTGTATGTGTTCCACAAAGTACTTGTATGTGATCCACAAAATACGTGTATGTGTTCCACAAAGTGCTCGTATGTACTGCTGGGAGTGTCTTGTCGTAGCTTGAAACACGCTCTTACTCCATCAAATACTAATCAATAAATAGGTGCATTATCTAGCTTTGCATTCACTGAAACATTTGTATTTATATAAGAACTACTATTATTCGAAATAAACAACTAGCTATTTATCAAGTAAACGAAATAATTAACCCTGGGAATTCCAGTGAGTGTGTGTTTAAGGCGGAAATTAGATAGTACTTAACCGTGAATGTGTTGATCATAAAACTGCCAACCATTAGTTCAGCCTAGTTGTACAATTTTGGCGAAACCAAGGAGAGCGGGTATGCAGTTGACAGAGGAAGAATCATACTCAGTGCGATTCATGATCTGAACAAGTGGCTCCAGATAAAACCAGTAACAGTGCTCCGATCACTTACCCGATCGTAGCAATCCCACACCCACACCATCATTAAAAATAAATAAATTAAAAAATATATAAAATAAATAAAATATCAATGTCAAAAGAGCAAACAGAGCAATTACAATTAAGTCAATTTCTTACTGCTCGCTTGCAACGTATAGCGCAGAATTCGCCCGGATTGTGGTCACAGGTGTCTCAGCCCTGTATAAATAATCGTTGTTCCCCCAAAGACCTGAATGACCTTGCTCTCTTTTCCCTGAGTGCGCTGACATACGGTGCACGTTCTGACATACTGGGCGGAATGAAGTAAAGGGGCATTCACACGGTACAACTAGTTGTATACAATTTGTTGTATGCAATTAGTTGTACGAACTGAAGTTGTCTACAACTCGACATTCACACGACGGCGAGTTGCATACAACTCGGGTCTCGCGAGATCTCTGACAAAACGTTTGTGATTCACTAAATTATCGCTGGAATCCTGGTTGCCGAGTTTATGTTCGGACGCAAAGTTTTGAAAAAATCAACGCTCTGAGATAATTGCGGTCGCGCGGTACTGGACCATTTGTAAATTACTGAATTTTTAACCCCATGTTGGAAAAATGAAAGACTGGTTTAAAGTGTTAAATGTTGTCCAAGTTGACGAAAAATCCTCTAAAATATGTAGCCATATTTGTACGTAGATAAAGTACAGTGCGACGAAATGTTATATTTGACAGCTTTATGTAAAGTGTGAGCGAACAAAATACTGACTCATATCCGAACAACGTGATGATAGATATATTAAAATTGTACGATTATGTATACGAAAACGTTCTTATTTTATTTGGCGAAAATAAAATTTCCGCGATGACGTCAAAACACGAGGGAGAGGTCTACATGTACGTAGACAAAAAGGGGCATAACTCCGCTAAGCTTAAATGTGAGCCATGGTAACTCGGTATCTGTCATGTCCGTGGTGAGCATATGCTATGGCTCAGGACAATACATTCTAGTATTCTTTTGTTTATGTGTGTCTACAAAGTTCCCACACAGCTATCGAGTTTGATAACCACATCGGTTTCTTTCCTGGGACATTGAATGATTGTCATCCAAAATTTCCTGAAGACATTATTTCAGATTTTGTGATAATATAGAAGGATGACCTATAAAAATCCTCAAAGTGCCCCATGTCCAGTTGAAACTAAATACGTTAAGGTTTTATCCCAATGTATAAGTAACGTTGAAATCGGTACCACAAAAAAAGTAACAGTATATTTCCACTAATATTCGTTCATAGTTTAGATAACATTTGATTATAGGATAGGAGAACAGGATGCTGAGTTTTATCACTACAACAGCTCCACAACCCAACAACCCCACCCCCACACCCCACACCCCATTCCCACCAAAGACACCCAAACCCAAACAGAAATGCTCGGCCCCTATTTTGAAACGCGCACCTGATGCAATCTTCAGCTGTCAATGTTCCCGCAAATTAAACGAAAAAATCCAAATGTAAAACAAATAGTTGTCCGCACATGAGTATACATTAATAAAAAATATAACGTGACGAATTTCCTTCAGGTATACAGCTACTATTACTTTAAGAAATTAAGTGCCTTTTTTTATTTAACCTATTCATATACATTTGCCATAATGAATATTTCACAATTCTCCAAAGGAAATATGTATATGCTTCAGTGTGTTACACTGAAATTTCACAAAGCATTTTATACGAAGAATAACATGAAGAAAATCAATTTCTGTGTTAAAACAAATTATATATAGCTTATTATTAACTGTACGGCATTTTAGATAATATCAGTAACAGCACTAGATATATATACCCGTTTTGCAGCAGTTTCTTATTTTACTGGGTGAAAAGATAGAGATATTTAAACTATAATTCAAGATTGAAACAGTAAACTACTTCATGAAATGAATGCGTTGTGTACTAATTCCCCCGCACCACAAGGAAAATAACAAATATGTACAACGATGTTAATGTTGTCGTATACAAATGTGACATCACTACCGGTAACGTCCCATCATAACATAGCGAGTTCACTAATAGCAATACGAGGATTGTTTAGAGTAGGTTGTACTGTGATGCTAGGATCACATATATACTGAACCGCAAAAGAAACGTCACCTCAAGTAACATTGCATGAAAATGTCATTGAATATCTGGGTAATTTTTGTCAAAGTGTCTAAAATTTAACATTACCTTGATGATAAAAAACCAAAGCAGATGACAATAAAACCGATCGCCCAAACGCATCACGGCAACGGCCATGGTAACCCGATGCACGTGAGTTCCGTGGAAATTGAAATTAACATGTGTTCCCCCAATTCTTACCCTATAAAAATCCACCCAGATCGGATAACATTCATTCGCTATTGAATTGCTACCACGTGCCAAGATTGACAAGAAATCAGCGACACCAAGCCCTTGGACGATTGCAATCTGGACAAACCGCCCGGCAAGTAGCCAATGCATTTCAAGACCATATACATGCTCCAGCAACGGTCCCAGACCACCAACACTAGAGATGACCGACCACGTAGTGGAAGACAAAGGGTAACCACTCGACGTCAGGATCGTCAGATTGTGCGACAGCATCTTCAAGATCGCTTTGTTACTGCTGCTGAAACTGCTCGACAGACCATGGGGACACACCAGCGACACATTAGTGCGGACACCGTGCGTCGACGATTGATGAGCAGACACCTCCACTGTCACAGGCCACACCGTCTTCAGTGGGCAACACAGCACCAGAATAGGCGCCACCAGCAGTGGAGAAGAGTCCTCTTCTCATACGAGAGCCGTTACTGTATCTCAACAGCAGATGGCAGAGAGAGTCTGGCGACGCCGTGGGGAACAATATTCGGACGCTTGTGTTGTTGAGAGAGACTCGTGGGGTGATCCAAGCATCATGGTGTGGGGTGGAATTGGTCTTGCACAGAGGGTCGGCCCTGTGGTCTTCCAGAACATCGGTCCAGGGAGAGGCACATCGGTACATTGATCAAGTCTTGAGACCACACGCCATACCTCATTTGGCACGTCGCCGCAACCACGAGTTTCAGCATGATAACGCCCGTGCCCACATTGCGAGAGAAACAAGAGACTTCTTCAAGCAGAATCGCATCAGAACCATGCAGTGGCCTGCCCTCAGTCCCGATTTAAATTTCATTGAGCACCTGTGGGACGAGATTCAAAGACGGCTGAATGACGTCCGACCAAGGCCGTCAACTGCAGCTGAACTGCGTCAGGCGTTCCTCAGAGTGTGGGCTCAAGTGCCTATGGCCTTCATCAACCGCCTCATCCAGTCTATGTATCGACGCTGCACGGTAGGTATCTATGCACATGGCGGACACACGAGACACACGAGATACTGACTTGTGATTTTCTGAGAGACTAGTGTTGTTTTTCACTTTAAGAACATTTATCACTTTAATTTCAACCTTGATGATCAGTTTTGCCAAGTTTCATCTTTTTTAATGTCTCAAAGTATGTTTACAGTGTTTGGACAAATAAGGTTTCTCATATATCTGTTCATGGTGACGTTTCTTTTGCGGCTGAGTATTCATAAATGAGTCATGAAATTTAAGTAATCAGAATCAATCTGAAATCAACAAGTTTGTTATTATGTTTCCATTCTAGCCTTGATAATACGTTGTGAGGCAGATCAATACCGTCGTCAGTGTGCATGATTTTGCGTCAATCAGGGCGTCACCTGGGACGATTTCTGAAGTTTTAGAAACGTATTATAATTATGGACCTAATCTCATCTTGGTCTACACTACAGTGTACAGTCACATTGCCAGTCGTTTCAAATAACACTATGAACAGTTTAACCTGGAGAATTAGACCGATGCAAATGTCAGAATATATAATTTGTTACAGTGTTTTTCTACGTACCTTCTTTTCGTAGGTCCTTTGAGTGGTGACACTTAGGATACCGAAAAGCAGAAGTTACTGACGTGAATCGGAGTCGCCATTTTTGTTTACAAATTTCACCTGATTTCGATACGCGTTTTGATTGGCTACGTACATTGTACGTACAACATGTCGCATGAAAATAGAGCATGTCCTATTCCGTACAACTAATGTCCAACAAGTTGCATACGTCAAAAGTTGGACCGACTTGCCTGTCCACACGATACAATGTGTTGCATGCAACGAATTGTATCCAACTAGTTGTACCGTGCGAATGTCCCTTAAAACACGTCACTCACTTATGATTTGATCAAAACCATGAGCTCTCGACCTCTCAGTGCTATCACAGTGGTTTGAATTTCGAAAGCAAATGATTTGGATGATCGATATATGCACACATGTTCAAACATTGACGAATTATGTATGCTGTTGTTGCGGAACATCGCGCCACAATAGCTCAGATCGTTGTTTATGTTTTAGGTCACCGGTTTTCCTCGTCCAGAATTGACTATCTACATACTGAATGCATCGGGAATGACTGCGTGTAACACCTTTCAATCTTCTTGCTTTGATTCACAATACTAAATGAAAGCCATTACCGATGTTCACCCTCAGGAGTGGGTGCTTGATTACAGTGTATAAACGTATATGAGAACTGCATTTCGGGTAAGAAATGGTCTGCTCCAACCCATGCTTGTCGTACAAGGCGACTTAATGTACAGGGTGGCCAGAGTGGTCAGGGCCGGTGACTTGGTTATTATAAGGGTAACGCTCTTTTTCAGAGCATTATCATTTGCAGAAGCCCGAGGTTTTCCAGTAACTGCCCGACGAAGGACGAGGGCTTCTACAAATGATAATGCCCTGAAAAAGAGCGTTACCGTTATTATAGCTAAAATGGATGGAATTTGTTATCAAATAAAAAGAAACAACAACATCGGTTTTGAAACATTTACTGCAATCAACACGAATGTCAGTGACCACATTTTACAAATATGGAAACGTCATAGAACAAACCAGATGACGTCACTATAATACGTGACGTCATTTTCTCTACCCTTTGACGTCACCGAACAACGGGCTTGATAATGGCCCGTCGTCAAGCAATATGAGGGCATTATCAAGTTACAGTGGCCCGCTTATTTCTGATAACGTGCGGGCGGTTTAATGATAATTCTATCCATTTTAGCTATAATAGCGTGTAATCATACCCTATGCCGTGCATCGTTACTCATAGTATCAATCACAAAAAGCAAAACTAGCATATTGTTACATCGTGCACAATGGTAAGAGCAGTATTGTTGTGAATCAATATTGTTACTAGTCAACTTTGAACGCACAGGATGTCCTCCGAGTACAGACACGTGTTTCTCAACACTAAGCATATGTCGATACTGTGTCAGCATGCATGATCACAAAGCTTATAACCTTCGTTCGTATCGATGTGTTGTTGTGAACAGGCTTCAGTGACCCCGTGTCATATTACTTCAGTGATACCGGTTATCGGCAGCGAATAATCCGAATGGGGTTATTTATTTATTTATTTATTTATTTATTTATTTATTTATTTATTTATTTATTTATTCCATAATATTTTACATTTCAATATCATACATAGAGTGTGCATGGATTTATTGTGACATTATTGGCATGTTTGTATCCGAATGGGGTTACATTTATTTATTTATTTATTTATTTATTTATTTATTTATTTATTTATTTATTTATTTATTTATTTATTTATTTATTTATTTATTTATTTATTTATTTATTTATTTATTCCATTTTCCATCATATTTTACATTTCACTATCATACATGGAGTGTGCATGAAATTATTGTGACATTATTGGCATGTTTGTATCCGAATGGGATAACATGGTTTTCCAAAGTGTACGAAAATATTTTTAGCTAAAATTAGTCCACTCTGATCCTGTTGATCCTATCACTGGACAACAGCTGTTTATACGTCATTACATCTAAACAGTCGTTGTATTGACTCTACTTCCAAAATGCCACTGATACCATGGCCTGGCACATGTTACCGTCGGAATAACTCTGTGAACACCTTGTTTTAGTCCTCTCGTCGATAACGCTAAGAATATGGATGTGTGCTCGGGCGGAAATGTCAGCCACGTCAGACCAGGCTGTTCCCGTTGGTGAATGTTACACACATCGAAGGGACACAACTGGTTATATGGAGGATCACTCAGAACGTCAAACTCTGTAAGTAAAGGGGAATACTTGAAACTTCTTGCCTATCAATTCTTGTGACATATTGACAAGTAGTGTATTTATATTCATGTTATCTGAAACTGAAAGAATTAAAGCACAGATTCGTCTCGTTTGAATTTAGACGGATGGAATGTCATACAAATATGAATATTATAGCCTGTCCAGCTATGTCAGGCATGTTGTTTAATCTTGTAGCATGTCTAGCATACGTCAGCTAGGTAAGACGTCTAATCTGGATGGTTGCTACACCATAAATGCTCACACAATAGACATCAATGAACGCATACAGTTGTTGCAAGACCCTATATATCTATGATATGTGTTCGACATTTACATTTTTGCACAAGAAGATACAGGCTTTCTTTGAAAAGCGAATATCTTTAGTTAAGGATATGCATAGCCGACTACCGAGGAAATACACATACTTTCTCCCGAGTGAGTTACTGTTCTAAGTTGTGGGTAATATCATGTTTCAAGTGCAGCTGTTGCGCCCTCTCTCACTAGAATATCATGGATTACTTTGAGTATATTTGATTAATGACCTGCGTACCTCCCTCTGGAAACACACTAACTTTATTTATAGTTTATATTTAAATTTGAGGAAAATAATGTTTCTCAGGTGTGTAGTCTCATTCATGTTCTTGTTTTCAAGCCTAAATTAAGCAGTTTGTTCTATGATTAAAAAGCTACCGCAAAGGATACATGTTTATTTTTTAATTCGGTTGTAGCATCAGTGTATTCGATTCTCTCGTTTACAGGGAATTTTCATACCTCACTAGCACTTGCTTTAATGGATCAGGCTTGGTCTCATACATGTGGATCATTGCTCGGGATACTGATCAATGGATTGTCTACTTCAGACTCGATTGTTTAAAGACCGCTGGCGAACAGCAATACTGCTGGATGTGACATCAGGCAATTAACAAACCTTGACTGATTTTATTAAAATTGTGTCAGTGGCTGGTGCTATCGGTTGCTCAGGGCATACTCACACTTCCTGCGATCACTCCATGTCAGCCCTGATTTAAGTGATCCATATATATTCCATGGAATATACCCTGAAATATATACACATGCAAGCTTAAACCTCTCGATATCTGCAGTTTACACTCACCATGCTGGGAGAAAGACCACTAGCAAGGCCATCCAAGGCCCGTGGAAATAGTTACCAGTCAGAGTGGGATGACGTTCTGCCTGTACCCAAACTCAGCTTCTCTGTGGCATCTGTCCTCGTCTTCTGTCTGGCGGTACTGTGTTTCGTGAACAGCCACGATGGAGACTTTGTGTTTGACGACACATGGGCCATCACCAAAAACAGGGATATCTTACCTGAAACTCCACTCACCGCCGTATTTGCTCATGATTTCTGGGGACAGCTGTTGGACGAGAAGAGTCACAAGTCCTACAGACCACTTACCGTGATGACCTACAGGTGAGACATCGATATTAAATCTTTGACCAATCGTTGTGTGAGAACAGAAGGCAGTGTCTCAGGTTGCACCAGCAGAGCAAGAGGTATACATATTTCCTCGCAGTCATTTTACATTTGAAAGAGAATATTGTTATTCATCCAAAACAAGTGTTTACGCATACAATATTGGACTTTAATGTAAGACAATATCATTTAACAAATTACAACAATGACATTTCGCTAAACATGTTTTGTAAGAAAAACATCTTAGCTCCAATTTCCTCTCCGCGCCCATAATGGATCTGTCTGATCTTACCCCAAAACAAGACATTTCGAACTATTGTCAAAATAGTTGGCATTTAAATTTTCTTCATGCATTTAACTTTTATCACTTTGATTTACAAGTGGAAATACTTCTTTCTTTAAATTTCCGAAACTACTTTAAAATGACCCAGAGCGGTTAATATTATCTCGACCCGTGAAGATCCGGGATAGAATAGGTCTTCAGCAACCCATGCTTGCTGTAAAAGGCGACTATGCTTGTCATAAAAGGCGACTAACGGGATCGGGTTGTCAGTCTCTCTGACTTGGTTGATGCATGTCATCGATCGTTATTGCGTGGATCGATGCTCATGTTGTCAATCACTGGATTGTCTGGTCCAGACTCGATTATGTACAGACCGCCTTCATATAGCTGGAATATTGCTGAGTGTGGCGTTAAACAACAAACAAACAAATATTTTTATCTCACTGATGCTTGATTCTTGATACTCTCCAGGTGGAACTACGCCTGGGCAGGTGGCCTTCATCCTCGGGGCTTCCACGTTGTCAACATCGTCCTGCACGGCTTGGTGTCGGTCATCTTCCTGGCAGTATTCTCTGTCCTCATGTCTGGTTACCAGGTGGACCAGGAATCTGCTAGACCGGTTTTTGCTTCGCCCCGAGCTGCTCTCCTGTGTGCTGTGTTGTTTGCTGTGCATCCCATTCACACTGAAAGCGTGAGTTCAAACTCTTTTTAATGTTAATTTGTTGATGCATAACACACACAGACACACACATTGGCTTAATGTATCGCATAAACATTCATCTTCGCTTCCAGAAACTATGTAAATTGAGATCTATACATATATCTTGTTGATGATGATAAGACATTTTCAGGTCTTGTGGAACGCCTTTAAACTTTTGTAATGAACATTGTGGCTTTTGATCATCACTATATGTTTCTGATGACTGGTGTACATTTATTCAATGTGGCTGGACAAAGAGATCCGATATTCTTACCTGTATGACAAATACGGATACTGACTCAATACGGATACTCACTCCAAATAATCACACACTCACTCTGGCATCTCATTCCAGCAGCTATTTGAAACTTGCAATAGTAATAACCAAGCCAGACATACAAAACTTATGACTCCACATACAAGTTACACACAACCAAATGTTTTCCCATAGACTTCTATAGTAACGTTATTTCTTTTAAAAATAACTAAGCATTCAACAGCTATTACCTGTACGTGTGTGCACTGTTTGGCCTTAGAGCAGCAATAAAAACATAAAAAATGACTAGCTTAGCCAGCTCCTTTTCCGAGTACAGGAAGCTAAACACACCACCCCCAGTTTCGCACCTAATGTCACCTCCTTGAAAATAGCTGTGGTCACATTCAGCATAAGTCATCATGTTGAAAAAGACAGTACTAAATATAGAAAAACATGGTCTGTTTTAATAACTGGATGGATGTACATTTGAAAGACATAAAAATCTTACAGAATATCCTCCAATCACAGCCTGCAGATATCTATCGATCTGCACTGAAGGCTCCTGTCCCAACTGGTTCTGATTTCGTGTAGTAGAACCTAAATCCCTTGGCCTTCCTGTGTTCCAGATTGCTGGGGTCGTGGGTCGGGCTGACCTGCTCTGTGCCTTGACCTTCCTTCTGTCATTTCTACTGTATGCAAGGGCATGCGTCTCTTGTAAGTTGTGTTTCATGATCATAAACACATGTTCATGATATCTTTATGCAAAGATTTCTATTGGACATGGAAAAGAGTTTTGTCGCTTTATTTATTATTATTTGTTTTGACACCTAACTAAATACATGCTCCCGTGGTTTTTTGGTTGTTTTTGCTTTTTCTCCAATACCCTACTGACAATTAGAAAATGAACGAATGTTGTTATACCTGCAATGTATTTCGTGAGAACTGTGTGAAGGTCGTTACAGTATCAGTTCATGATAGTGTCAATAAGAACATCTGTTCTTTCAGCTTCATCTCTGGTGAGTTACCGTCCCGAGTCCTTCTCCCTGGTGTCTGTACTGGCCAGCATGTGTCTGTGTGTCGTGTCCACCTTCTGTAAGGAGCAGGGCATCACTGTCATAGTAAGTGGATTCAGTGTTTCATCCATGGTCAGTTACCGTCCCGAGTCCTTCTCCCTGGTGTCTGTACTGGCCAGCATGTGTCTGTGTGTCGTGTCCACCTTCTGTAAGGAGCAGGGCATCACTGTCATAGTAAGTGGATTCAGTGTTTCATCCATGGTCAGTTACCGTCCCGATTCCTTCTCCCTGGTGGCTGTACTGGCCAGTATGTGTCTGTGTGTCGTGTCCACCTTCTGTAAGGAGCAGGGCATCACTGTCATAGTAAGTGGCATCTCACCGTAAAAGCAGCTTTCACCAAACCTTGTGGTGTTGGAATGAAACACATCTTCCATCATCTCGTCTGATCTGATTAAGCTAGTTTCCAGGTCAACTGATTTCGCATGTTAGAAATGTCCAATCTCTCCTTCCAAATTGGAATTATTTCTTGTGATTATATTCAGTACTAATTATCTTCAAGGGGAGTTAATAAATTCATTGCTTCATTGAAACCACGGAAAAGAGGGATCAATCACTTCAACCCCAGAAACCTAATGGTCCACAATGATTTTTGAAATTCAAAAACGAGACCTACAAACAGCTACATCCATGATCATTTATTTTCTATATTCTAAATATATATTCTTGATGTTAGTTACATGCTCTTGCAATGTTTTTGGTCCTCAAGTTTACATGTATATTGTATTTGCAGGGTATTTGTAGCGTGTTTGACATCGTCGTTGTGTGTAGAGTCGACCCTTTCCAGCTGATGTCCTTAAGAAAACATCACATCAAGAGCAAGGTGAATGAACGAACGACTTGGATAAAGGAGCTTATTCTGTTTTTCCACATCAAATAAAACTCTTCATCATTCAAGACATTATCTACACATGAGTAATAATTGTCAACAGACAATCCAGTGGTTGATATCATGAGCATCGATCCACGCAGATGGGATCGATGACGTGCATCAACCATGTCAGAGAGCCTGACCACCCGGTCCCGTTAGTACGACAAGCATAGTCGCCTTTTACGGCAAGCATGTGTTGCTAAAGACCTATTCTAACCCGGATCTTCACGGGTCGAGTAATATATTGAGGCAATATGTAAAGGCAATACATGGATCGGAATACATGGTTGACATGTAGATAAATTAAACCTGACTCTTTACCATGACCCAAAAGCTGAATTGTATTATCTATATGTTATTTATCTATCTATTTACAACTGATAAACGTAATACTGTAAATTATTAGTTCGAAATAAACGATGTACCTGTTGGGGGAATGCAAATAGGCACGAAATGTCCTTGTGTAGATATGAACATAAATATACATGAAACAGTGTATTGTATTAAGGTGACACATAGTGATATGACTGAGTATATGTCCAAGTAACATTGCCCTTAACATATGGAATCTAAGTGAGTGAGTGAGTTGGGTTTAACGCCGCTTTTAACAGTATTCCAGTCATATCACGGCGTGTCAGCTTGATGTGGGAGGAAAGCCTGAAGTGATGCAGGTCTCAGACGTTTACCACTTCGGTGAAAACCACGAGCACGGGTATGATGCTGACAAACCTAGAAACATAATCGGGGCGAACCGGGATTCGAACCCACAATCATAGGTTTCTGGCGTGCCCAAGGGACGCAACTTTGCACAGCGAATTGCGGCGCCTTAGACGAATGGGCCACCCGTGCCATCAAATGGAATCTAAACATGCAATGGGTGATGCATGGATAATCGGTTTAGGCTGCTTGTTTTTATATCTGCTGTTTTGGTTACAGCCAAAATGGGTTTTGAGTTTCATCAAACGTCATCTCGTCCTGTTACTGACTGGCGTGATACTCCTCATCAGTAGACTATGGATAATGAGATCATCAACACCTAACTTCTCTGTGGATGATAATCCACATACCATGGTCAACGGTACACTATTGAAGGTAAGATGTAATATAGGTTTACTGAAGTCCAACAGTACAATAGTCGGTGAAACCGTTTTTTCCTGACACTAATAGGTATAGAGCCACTATCCTGATATAAATTCAAAACGGAGGTATTTTATTCTTTCATTTGGATTGCATTAAAACATCAAATTCTACAAATTGCTTTCAGATTTTAAACTACAACTATCTCTATGCAATGAACTCCTGGCTGCTGTTAAATCCATGGTGGCTGTGTTTTGATTGGTCGATGGGCTGTATACCTGTCATCACCTCATTGGCTGATCCCAGAATACTGGCAGTCATGGCTCTCTGGACGGGATGTGGTGCTTTGTTCTATCACTGTTACCATGGAGAACTCACTAGCTATCGCAGGTATGTCTAGTTGAATCTGAAGTGCGCGTATATAAAGAAGCATTAGGAAAGTTAAGGAAATGTGCCCTTTGTATATGTATTAGCGTAATGGACATTCCCGTTAATCGTTTATCAGAAAAAAACAAAGGAAATATAATCTGATGCCAATGTTAATACAATGTTTCAACAAAGATTTCGGTCAATAGTAACATGATGTCTCGTTGATTTGATTTTTGTTGTGATAGAGACAGGACATTATTTTCGGTTTCTACATTTTGTAGGAGAAAATTTCAATATAGAACCTCCCATGGACGGTCACGTATTGGCATAAAAGCAACAAAACATTTCCAAAATCATAAGAAATCTATGAAAAGCAGAGTCTATTGTACGATTACGACTATATCATAAGCATGTTTTCAAGAATCGCTTCAAAATAGTGATCATACCAGGTGTTCGCGAAAAGGTGAGCGTATCCTGCCACAACGGTGGCACACGTCACAAACACATGCAAAGGCAACTTAATCAGTTCTCCTGAAAGAAAAAACAGGAACATATGATACAAATCACAACAAGGAATTATATTGGACATCCCTATTGTTACTGATGCGTCAAATCTAGAGTAGTCCTCCACATGTCTACCATAAATCCTTTTGAAAGCTTTACTTTGGGCCTTCAATGTTTTAACCTTGATCAAACACCTTTGTCGTATGAGGCTGTTTAAAATTTTCGTAGAATAGCACTTTATCACTCTGAATTCTACACAGGGTTTAACTTGTATATTTTCCCTGTGCATAGATGACACAATTCCATTGCTCACGCCGGGTGTTTCCTTCCTTTGATACCTACCTTTGTTTCAAGTATGTTATAGAACGAACAGAGTGAGTGAGTGAATGAGTTTGGTTTAGCGCCGCTTTTAACAGTATTACAGTTATATCGCGGCGTGTCAGTTTAATGTGGGAGGAAAGCCCGAAGTGATGCAGGTCTCAGTCGTTTTACCACTTCGGTGAAACCCACGAGCACGGGTATGGTGCTGACAAACCTAGAAACATAATCGGGGTGAACCGGGATTCGAACCCACAATCATAGGTTTCTGGGACGCAACTCAGCACAGCGAATCGCGGCGCCTTAGACGACTGGGCCACCCATGCCCCCCTAGAACGAACAGAACATCAAATACATTCGGTATAAAATTGAAACAACACCACGCATGATGTTTATTGTTACGTGACGACTTCCAAATTGAAACAATAAGTTAACCCAGAAATCTGTATGAAACCAACAAACAAAGAAATGGTATACAATTTACAATTGTATTGTTAAATGATCTAGATTTATATATCAACACAAATTACTGCACAATAATAACAATACCGTACACAATATAGTGGCAGTACAAGTCAGTTGTAGTACAAGTTTGTTTGTTTGTTTGTTTGTTTGTTTTGTTTGTTGTTTTACGCCGCACTCAGCAATATCCAGCTATATGAAGGCGGTCTGTAAATAATCGATTCTGGACCAGACAATCCAGTGATTGATATCATGAGCATCGATCCACGCAATTGGGATCGATGACTTGCTTCAACCAAGTCAGCGAGCTTGACCACTCTATCCCGTTAGTCGCCTCTTACGACAAGCATAGTCGCCTTTTTACGGCAAGCATGGGTTGCTGAAGACCTATTCTACCCCGGATCTTCATGGGTAGGTAGTACAAGTACAATGACAGTATAAGATATAATAGTAGTGGTAAAAATATTCACCTAGCAGCAAACAGACTGAAAACAATGACTTTGACACAAATGCTGGTCGATATGTAATGTGAGAGGGGAGAGGCAAGTTCTTGCACCCTCATATGGTCTAAATACCTCCTTGAACCTTCTCTTCAGTGCTGCACAAGTCTGGCTGTTCCGCAAGATTTTAGATTATTCTTGACTCCAAAATGCATCTTAATATAGTTACTGCCTTACCACTGCTTACATTAGATAGTACTACATTCCTGATAACTAATTATTGTCAAAACACAATGCTATGAACTTCTACTGAATCTCAATCTTGCTACATTATTTAACAATACATGAAACTGCCACATAATAGTATAAATAACCTTTGCTACATTTTACCGTTTCTTCTCTGCTTAGGATCCTGATAGTTTCACTAGCCACGTTGGGAGTTCCCTTCCTGCCCGCCAGCAACCTGTTTTTCCGTGTGGGCTTCGTGATCGCAGAGAGGATCCTGTACTTGTCCTGTGCTGGCTTCTGTATGTTGGTGGTGCTCGGGGCAAGGCAGATCTGTCATCAACTACAACAACATTGCATGGCAAAGAAGGTAGAGCTAAAAAAAAGACCATTCACTGCTGAGTGTAATTGACTCATTCCGAATGCCGCACTCTTCAATTCAATATTGAGGAGAACATTAAATACAAAAGTGATATGAAACGTGTGAATGTGTACATGGCGGACAAGGTCTCGCGAATAACGAATTTGGATATAACGCCCCCAGTTTCTTGGTGTTCGTTTCCTGTATAGTAATGATACCTACATACCAGATTCAAAATGTCATGCTTATGAAATGTGTCGCCCCGATATGGCAGAAATTATCGTATTAATATTATTGAATATTTGGCCATCGAACTATGAGCTTGAATTAGTCAGTCCTCTGTTTCAAAATCTTCGTAAGATTCCGGAAATGCAGATAATTCGGGTGCTTCTGATAATTCTGATGATTCATGTGATTCAGATTGTTTAGATGATTCAGATACTTTTGATGATGATGATGATGAACGTTCTGACGATTCAGATAATTCAGATACAAAAATCAGATAATTCTGATGATTCAGATACTTAAGATGATTCAGATACTTCAGATAATTGAGAAAGTTCTCATTATTCAGATACTTCTGATGATTCAGATATTTCAGATGAGTCAGATACTTCAGATGATTCAGACAATTCTGATGATTCAGATACTTCTGATGATTCAGATACTTCTGATGATTCAGATACTTCAAATGATTCAGATACTTCTGATGATTCAGATTATTCAGATACTTCTGATGATTCAGATACTTCGGATGATTCAGATACTTCAGTTGATTCAGATACCTCTGATGATTCAGATGATTCAGATACTTCTGATGATTCAGATACTTCAGATGATTTAGAAAGTTCTGATGATTATGATGATTCAGATGATTCAGATCATTTAAATCATTCAGCTTATTTCGTACGATACAGATCATTCATATGATTCAGAAAATTCATATGATTCAGAAAATTCATATTATTCATAAGCAATTTCAACGTTATATTCTGTACTGCAGGTAGTGTCCGGATGGTTTGTGCTCCTCGTTGTGGTATTTTTCTTACGGTCAACTGAGGTAAGTTCCCTTCACGCTCATGATGTGATTATAGCCAGTGTACTCTTTGGCTGGATCCACTGTCATGTAATCCACATACGCCCATTGATATTCCACATACGCACATTGATATTCATCCATCGTGTCATGTGTCATGTTAAACTTTCCCGCATGATGCGACCACGTTGTGATAGGCCCGTGAAGATCCGGGATAGAATAGGTCTTCAGCAACCCATGCTTGCCGTAAAAGGCGACAATGCTTGTCGTAAGAGGCGACTAACGGGATCGGGTGGTCAGGTTCGCCGACTTGGTTGATGCATGTCATCGATTGTTATTGCGTGGATCGATGCTCATTTTGTCAATCACATCATCGTCTGGTCCAGACTCGATTATTTACAGACCGCCGTCATATAGCTAGACTATTGCTGAGTGCGGCGATAATCAACAAACAAACAAAACAAAACATTGTGATACTACTACTCAGAGAGGAGCTGCATTTCACACTGTTTCAAAAGATTACAAACACAATATTAACCAAGCTTTCTTCAGGTTCGTTACCTCTGCCATAAAAACAGTGCATCGACATGTAGGCCTTATTGATTAAAAGTTTAGTTTCTTGTTTGTATCAACCTTTATAACAAGTTACCAAGTGCACAGGCATCGTGAAACCATGAAGATCTATTGTTTAAGCGCTGTAAGGAGTATCGAGAAGAGCTGACCTTGTTCACATCTGGACTGAAGGTCTGTCCAATGAATGCAAAGGTAGGTAGACACACCATCATCATTATGCGTTATGTTTCCATGGGGGCAATGGTCATACAGCATTTACTATAGATACTCTATTTGTGGGGAACACTATGAACAACGGAATACCCACTGACACCGTTATTGACATAGGGTATGTTTAAAGTGAGTAAGGATGGTTCTACGCCGCTGTCAGCAATATTCCAGCAATAAAACAGCGGGAGACACCAGAAATTGGTTCACACATTGGAGCCATGTGGGTAATGGAACCCAGGTCTTCAACGTGACGACGAACGCTTAAACCACTAGGCTACCCTCCCGCCGTCTCAAGGCATATATTGTCACTGCAATTATGTAACATATCCTAACTATCCACGTTGGTGGTATCCTTTAATCCTGGTGTTATCCTTACTTTACACTGATCGATAATGACTCATCAAATGCCATTTCATTACCTGTTGATGTTGATCAGTAATATTAGATTGCGATAAATGGCACCAAACCTGCGTCTATAACCTGTAATTCTCCACGTGTCACCTGTGTCTCCACGAACTACATTTCAAATGAAATTTTTAAAAATCAACGTCAGGGAAACTGGTTCCATGGAGCGTGAAAGGCCAAATAGTTATGAACATTATACGAATGGATAAAGCTTGATGATATTATACATTGTATTGAGTGATGTCGAGCAGTCTGAAGGGGCGGTCGGGTAGCCTAGTGGTTAAAGCGTTCGCTCGTCACGCCGAAGACCCTGGTTCGATTCCCGACATGGGTACAATGTGTGAAGCCCATTTCTGGTGTCCCCCGCCGTGATATTGCTGGAATATTGCTAAAAATCGGCGTAAAACCATACTCACTCACTCACTCGAGTAGTCTGAGAGTTAGCGCAAATACAATGACGGAACTTTTATTAAGCTTGTTGGCCGTTCTTTAAACAACTGCTTTATGCCACCACAATTGCCAAGATCAATGATCGATTTGCTGAACAGTTGTTGATAATGTTAGTTATCATATAAAAGCTTACGACATTTTAGCAGGTATTGTCGATGATTTGATGTTTTTTTAGTTTATTGATTTAGTAATGTAGCACTGTTTGAGGTAATGAATCAGTATTGTGCAGAAGAATTCAACCTTCGCGAGCTGTGAACTTATAAAAATATTCTGTTCCTATAGTACTATATACCCAGTTCATATTAACGTCGTGTTTCCACAGGTCCACTACAATCTTGCTAGACTGCACACTGACATCAACAACACTGACATCGCTATCCATGAATTCAGGGAGGCTTTGAAGTACGTAGGCAGACGTCTAGAAGGTTGATACATATCCATCCACACATACAATACGGCTCTCTGTTAGGGTCAAAATGAAACTTTCTCACTGATATCCATACATGTTTTAGGGTTTTTCACCCATGAAGAAGTTATCACATGGGGCGCTTGTCTCCCCAGTCTTTGATTGGCGATTTGAAGACATGCAGTCTTCAAACATTTGATTAAACCATAACTTGATGGATCCACAATAGTTAAGAGTTAAGACCTTTTTCTCATTATTTGTATGGTTTTTCCCTAAGATTAAAACCGCAACATGTCGGCGCAATGAACAACTTGGCCACCATCCTCAGAAAGAAAGGTGCCTTGGTTGAAGCAGAAGAGCTGCTGGAAAGAGCTGTCAGTGTCAGGTACCACACTTGCCTCGCCCGGTAGTTTCATAGGAAAAGCACGAAAGAAAGAATGTCCTTATTGTATGCTGCTGTACTTAAATAAACTAATTGAAATTCAGGACTCTTTTAACACACTGAAAAATTGTGTGGGTACGATGCTAGAGGCAGTAAAGATCAAGCCTTAGGTCACATGTTGCTTCTGTTAAACTACAATAAAGAGAACATTTACAATTAAGTGTTACTTGTAGCCATTTTAGTTTGCAGAAAACCTTGCATATGGGAAACCTTCTAGAAACGTATTGGGCATCCCAGACAGTAGTCGAGCAACAATGCATGGTGCCTTTCAAATGATTTACTTTGTATATGTACATGTGGTTGGACTGTAATGGATTGGGTTATCGCACCTTAACACTGTTCATAATAAGATCATTCCAGACGCCCTGTGCATAGTTTAAGGTGAAACATCAGGTATAGGTTTGAGACGAAAGGTATTGGGTAACAGCACTCTGATCAACTTGCTGATGCTTGGCATCAATCCAATCCCGACTATGATAGTCGACCTGTCAGATCCATAGCCTTGCTCTTGGTTTTCACCATGAAAGGTATATATGGCTTTCCTGACACAAGAAGTAGGCACGCAATGATAAATACTTTTGAAAGCAGCATGAACTCAGTATATTCCCAATGTACTTTGTATTCCAGGCCAGACCACGTGGAGGCCTGGATGAACCTGGGAGTTCTACAGGCAGAGTTGAACCAGACCGAATCGGCCGACGCCAGCTTCCGCAATGCTCTCTTGCACTGTAAGGTGCACACGGACTGCATGTATGACCTCGGCAATCTGGTAGGTATACGAGTTCTGCATTTTGTTTCCAAAAACAACATATTACTTTTCATGTCAGAGGACGATCATATTAGATAAATACATTAACAGGGTGGTGTTTATTTTTCACCGTGCTGAGCATTACGGCCATCGAATCATTTATATTGCCCATTCGAATGCCTTTTCGGGATATATTGCCTTTTAAGAGATTCTATTTAACATGTTTTGCCATTCAAGAGAAAATCTGCAGACATGTTTCTTGATTCCTAACAGTTCTATATATTAAATTACCTCAACACAGCCCGAATGTAACGGTTAAAAAAAGAAAGTGTTTCAGTCGTCACAGTTAGTAGTTACAGTTCTATTAAGTCTACTGTGTGATTGCACTAGTTTTAAATTCTCATTAACAACAAAGTCATTATGTTAGTCGAGCACATATGACCTGTCGTGAACATCAGATTCTAACAATGGTTGCGTACCCCTAGTATTATACCTATTGGATGACCATTAAGACATACTCATTATGTAGTAGAAAGCAGAGATTTCTTATGAATATGGGAAGGGTTTTGTCGCTTTTATTTGCAAATACGAGATCAAATTCTCTGTCTGCAATGCTTTTTTTTGGATCCTTAGATCTCTATTGAAAACAAAACAGTTACGATTTCAGTGCAGCATTTGGGATATATCTGTCTCCTCTTCTGTTGTTCTCTACTTTGATCATTAGCTGTGTTTTTCAATGAAGTTAGTCTGTAATCCACAGTAAAGTCGGGTTCAAGGGTAATGGTAGTTTCAGTAATCGCGGTTTTCTCCCCCAGTACTGGCACCTGGGACGCCACACAGAAGCCATCGACGCCTTTCACAATGTAACACAGGGTGCACCAACACACACTGCAGCCTGGGTGAAGTTCCTCCAGCTTCTCGATGTTCTAGGTAAGAGACTTCAAGGGTTCTATTATCATGTGCTCAGTACAAGTTGACATTTCTTATTTCTAGTAACTCCATATATTCTATATTCTGTTTATCTATGGAGTGAAACATTTAAGACTATTGGTTTCGTAAACGCTTACCATGCAGAAAGAAATTCTGCTAATTTTCCTTATACACTGCGCTCATCGCATACAAATGACCTAACTACTTTTCTTGCATCCAGAGAAATACGACCACGCTATTGAGGTTGGAGAGAAGGCTCTGGCGGTATTGAAATATGAACCAGAGTTGACGTTTCGCCTGGCTAATATTTACCTAAAGAAAGATAAGTACAAGGAAAGTGAGAAGCTCCTACTTGTGGCTATCCAGCGAGACCCTCAGAATCCGTATCTACATCTAAATCTAGGTATGTCTACTATACCAGTGAGCCAACATTCCTTACTATAGATATACAATAAAACCCTGTTACTTCTTACGCTATGTAAATCTTATTTTAGGTATGTATTGCACTGTACTAGGTAAATCCATGCAAAATAAGGCAAACTGGCAACAGTTAACTGAAATGTTTAATTTGGATTAGTTTGATCAGTTTTATGAAAATTCTATTTCTGTCATTTACATTTTTCATTAATCTCCCATGTCGAGTATATGCCACATGTCTGTTGTGTGTGACTTATAAAATATCCTCCATGTCGAGTATATGTGACCTATAGAAATATCTTCCATGTCGAGTATATGTGACCTATAGGAATATCCTCCATGTCGAGTATATGTGACCTATAGGAATATCCTCCATGTCGAGTATATGTGACCTATAGGAATATCCTCCATGTCGGGTATATGTGACCTATAGGAATATCCTCCATGTCGAGTATATGTGACCTATAGGAATATCCTCCATGTCGAGTATATGTGACATATAGGAATATCCTCCATGTCGAGTATATGTGACCTATAGGAATATCCTCCTTGTCGAGTATATGTGACCTATAGGAATATCCTCCTTGTCGAGTATATGTGACCTATAGGAATATCCTCCATGTCGAGTATATATGACCTATAGGAATATCCTCCATGTCGAGTATATTTGACATATAGGAATATCCTCCATGTCGAGTATATGTGTCCTATAGAAATATCCTCCATGTCGAGTATATGTGACCTATAGGAATATCCTCCATGTCGGGTATATGTGACCTATAGGAATATCCTCCATGTCGAGTATGTGACATAGAAATATCCTCCATGTCGAGTATATGTGACCTTAAGAATATCCTCAATGTCGAGTATATGTGACCCAATAGGAATATCCTCAATGTCGAGTATATGTGACCTATAGGAATATCCTCCATGTCGAGTATATGTTACCTATAGGAATATCTTCTATGTCGAGTATATGTGACCTATGGGAATATCCTCCATGTCGAGTATATGTGTCTTGGTGTGTTGTGTGTTGTACGTGTTATAAATATATCGACAGGGCTATGACAGATATGAGTATAGTGACAGCCGCCTTTGAATCATTAGTCATGTTTAACTTTTACAAGTATATGTTGGATACACACTGTGTGTGTTTGGTGTATGTTTAAATGTTACTTCAAACTAGTATAAGATTCCCTTCTGTTTTCAGGTGTACTATACTATCGGATAGGGAACAATGAGAAATCGGAGAAGGCCTACTTGATCGCACTGAAATTAGCGCCAAATGACCCGCTCATCCTGAAAAATCTCCAGGCACTTCACAGAAAGATGGGGAAAATCCCACCTGTCAGTCAATTGGTTATGGAAGATGGGAAAATAATATAAACAATGTTTATCTTGTATTGCAGTCGACGTTTTGTATGGTCTTTGATCCTTTATAATAAAATCAGTGAATGTTATATGTGTGCTCGTGTGTTGATGTGCTAGATTGTTCCAGTAAATAAACCGAAGGACGTTTTCATTCTCTTTGGATTAAAAATGATGAATTTATCTAAAGTAGAGGGAGGAGCGACGTATGTAGTAAAACTACAATAGCCTTCATCACAGTTACATCGTGGCTTGTCCTTGAATGCGGAACAGACATTTACCGCTTCGACGTGACCATGACATGACAAACCGGATAAGGTGATGATGACAAACCGAACATCATATTCGGGGCAATTTGCAGTGATTGTATTTTTTTGGTTTATCTCGACCATACCCGTACTCGTGGGTCATACCAAGTTGGTAAGCGTCTCTGACATGCATCGCTGCCGGATTTCTTCATACATCAAGATGAAACGCCTTCATATAACTGAAATACTAAGTGGCGTTTAACCAAAGAAACATAGTGTAAATTTCAGTCTGGAGACACAGAAATAATCATAAAGGAAAGAATGCATACACACTTTAGAAACTAGTGAAAGGTAGACTACGAGTTAGGGTAAATGTCTTTCCGTGACCTTGCAAATTTCAGTCGCTATACGGGTGAAAAAATTCCGAGATTGTGGAAAGATTTGCAGAAAATGTAACTCACCAAAAAGGTCTCTTTTTCAGGCATGTTATATTATCGATGTGAAAGTGTGAGAAAACTGAGAAAGCCATTTTGAGGGTAATGCCACTGTCGCCAAGGGATCCTCCTATCCTCCATGACCTGCAGATGCCCAATAGAAACATGTGGAACATAAAGTAAAATGTATTGCCTGAGAGTGAGTGAGTGAGTTACGCCGCTTTTAACAGTATTCCAGTTACACACGGCGTGTCAGCTTAATGTGGGAGGAAAGCCCGAAGTGATGCAGGTCTCAGACGTTTACCACTTCGGTGAAACCCACGAGCACGGGTATGGTGCTGACAAACCAATGAACATAATTGGGGTGAACCGGGATTCGAACCCACAATCATAGCTTTCTGGAATGCCCAAAGGACGCAACTCTGCACAGCGAATCGCGGCGCCTTAGACGACTGGGCCACCCGTGCCCCCGTATTGCCTGAGACGCACGGTGTACATATATCACATGTGTACATCTTGTGGACCCGTGGAGATCCGGGATAGAATAGGTCTTCAGCAACCCATTCTTGCCGTAAAAGGCGACTATACTTGTCGTAAAAAGCGACTAACGGGATCGGGTGGTCAGGCTCGCTGACTTGCTTGATGCATGTCATCGATCCCAATTGCATGGATCAATGCTCATGATCTCGGTCACTGGGTTGTCTGGTCCAGGCTCGATTATTTACATACCGCCGTCATATAGCTGGGATAGCTGAGTGCGGCGTTAAACAACAAAGAAACAAAACATCTTGTGACAGCAGCTAAACAGAACATGTGTATGTACATGAGTTGCTGTCACAGACAGGGATGATCCAAGTAACGGATACTGACGAGATGTGAAGATTGTGACGCATGAAAAAATATTCATAAAAATAAAAGTTTATTGATGTAGAGTGCGTACTTTACAGCGTCATTATTGTAGGACCACCTAGGTATGTAGGGTGTCAAACATGAACATATGCCAACAAGCATCAGAGGTCTGAGTGTGTTGGCAATGTGATTAACAGTTGAAGAACATGCTCTGAATGTCCATGTCATAGTGATTACATGAGTTTTATAAAAATGGAAAAATGGACAACGGCTATAAAAAACAATGAAAAGTGCAAGATTGAAGGTGAACGCTTCCCAGAACATACGTCTGAGCGCAAGCAGAACTTAAGCCTATGCATGACAAGTAAATGTAGGTTAAAATGTGTAATTCATGATGCATCTGAACTTGGAAATTGAAAAAGCGACGCATTAACATATATGGGAAACCTATGCAAAAGTTATCGTATGTTTTGTCAGATAACATTGTATAGATACATTTATGTATCTTGAAAGAGAATTTAATGCATTAAAACACATGATTCTTATTTAATTGTATTGTGATCGTGTTTCTGTATGTTTCCAAACGCTATTGGTGCTATTTCACAGCAGGAGACATGAGATAGTACAGGTGAGCCTGTGGAGTAGGGCTTAACCCAACGCTGGTTTGAACACGAAACCAGCTGTATCAGAGAGTGTTAGTTTAATTCATTTGGAGGGCCCAAGCTGAGTCAGAGACGCAACTCAACACCGCAAATTGCATCGCTCGGTCACTCGTATCTCCGATACCTAAAAGGGTAAATAGGTCTCTTTCTCTAAACACGTTGTTTTCACAAAGTCATGTGAAGTCTTCCTTTGGGCACAAAACTCGAAGTCACGCCAATACAGGACGTTGGCAATACTTCAAGGACGTAAGTGCCCTCTTTCTTTTCACAATGCAAACTTGTCATTACTCATCTTAAACCTTCCTGGTTACAGAAACAGACCCATTAGCATCACACGCATTACGACCCCTAAACCTACCATTACACGGCAGCTGTTAAACAGTTTGAGATGAAGCTGCTTTGTCAACTTTGTTAAGGCACTTTAAACGTTTCAATGAAAAATGCTTGCTGTAAATATATCTGAAAACTTTATGCCTTAAATTGGCTCGGTTACAGCTACTAAGAAGGTAGTGTCTGTGTTTCATTGAATTATAACCCTATCGATGATCTTGTTATTTATCATTTCATCAGTTAGTTTGTAATCAAACTTTCATCTTCTACCAGTAAACTGTAACTTTGTTTCAGTTGGTAGAAATGCTACTCAAAATCAAACATAACAAATTCACTGCGAGGTAGGATAGTTTTGTTTTTTTTCCCATCTTTCTGTGAAGTGCCTGGAGATTTTTCAGGATAAGCGAATCTACACATGTCTCTCCTCCCTCTACTTTAGGTAACTCCATCATTGTAAATCCAAAGAGAATGAAAACGTACTTCGATTGATTTGCTGGCACAATCTAGCACATCAACACACGAGCACACATATAACATTCACTGATTTTATTATAAGGGAACAAAGACCATACAAAACGTCGACTGCAATACAAGATAAACATTGTTTATATTATTTTCCCATCTTCCATAACAAGTTGACTGACAGGTGGGATTTTTCCCATCTTTCTGTGAAGTGCCTGGAGATTTTTCAGGATGAGCGGGTCATTTGGCGCTAATTTCAGTGCAATCAAGTAGGCCTTCTCCGATTTCTCATTGTTCCCTGTCCGATAGTATAGTACACCTGAAAACAGAAGGGCAACGATATATTTGAATATATACCAAACACACAGCTTGTATCAAAGCTCTGAACAGGACTGCTTCAACTTCACTATGCGTATGGGTGACCCTTTGATCGAAGCCTTAAACATATTTCGAAAGATTGAGGATTTTATAAAATGTGAAATGTGAAATAACTAATGTATGGATCATTGTTTCTCCTGTCTTAGTTATATTATGCACACTCAAGAATGGAAATTACATTACTAGACATTTCTTTGCAATAATTCACCGTAGAAGCAACCAATAAAGGCGTGGGTACCGAGAATATTCCCACGAGAACATGAAAAAAATGGAAGTGATGTTTGTGATGTCAAGCTCTGAATTTTCTTGTCTAAGCTCGATTATTTACAGACCGTCGTGATATACCTGAAATAGTGCTGAGTGCGGCGTTAAACAACTAACAAACAAATACTCTGAAGGGTATGGGTGATTTATGTAATTGAGGTTCAGAGTTAGCAGGGTTTCACTGTACATCAGTACATTTTGCATTGATTTACCTAGTACAGTGCAATACATACCTAAAATAAGATTTACATAGAGTAAGAAGTAACAGGGTTTCATTGTATATCAAAAGTAAAAAATGTTGACTCACTGGTACAGTAGACATACCTAGATTTAGATGTAGATACGGATTCTGAGGGTCTCGCTTGATGGCCACAAGTAGGAGCTTCTCACTTTCCTTGTACTTCTCTTTCTTTAGGTAAATATTAGCCAGGCGAAACGTCAACTCTGGTTCATATTTCAATACCGCCAAAGCCTTCTCTCCAACCTCAATAGCGTGGTCGTATTTCTCTGGATGCAAGAGAGGTAATTGGGTCATATAGATGCGATGAGCGCAGTGTGTAAGGAAAAATTAGCAGACATGTCTCTGCATGGTAAGCGTTTATGAAACCAATAGTCTTAAATGTCCATAGATAAACAGAAGGAATATATGGAGTTACTAGAAATAAGAAATGTCAACGAGTACAATGCACCTGATTATAAAAGCCTCTGACCTAGAACATCGAGAAGCTGGAGGAACTTCACCCAGGCAGCAGTGTGTGTTGGTGCACCCTGTGTTACATTGTGAAAGGCGTCGATGGCTTGTGTGTGGCGTCCCAGGTGCCAGTACTGGAGGAAACAAACATTACTGTGACTGCTATGGCAATATGGTGGTGGACTTTCACACCTCTATGAAACATGCTCTTGTCCAAAGGATGTTTGGATCACGTTAAGAACAGTTATATCCAATGTCCTATGCTATACACTTCATACAACAGAGCCACTCAACTTGCAACTACCTTCACATTTAAACAAATAAACAGAGGAAAGAGGTAGCATGGTATGGACATGATTGCGGATGCATGAACTATTCGTTTTACCTCAAATGTTGGTTTGTGTCTTTTTATCCCAATAATGTAATGTGACTGCATCACTTATTCAGAGACCCGTGAAGATTCCGGGGTAGAATAGGTCTTCAGCAACCCATGCTTGCCGTAAAAGGTGAACATGCATGTCGTAAGAGGCGACTGACCGGATCGGGCGGTCATGCTCGCTGACTTGGTTGAAGCATGTCATCGATCCCAATTGCGTGGATCGATGCTCATGATATCAATCACTGGATTGTCTGGTCCAGACTCGATTATTTACAGACCGCCTTCATATAGCTGGAATATTGCTGAGTGCGGCGTTAAACAACAAACCAACCAAACCAACCAACTTATTCAGAATACATGTACAGTTATGAGAAAAAGAGGGTGCGGCAATACCGATCCCTTTACAATTTATCCCAGTAAGTTATGGTCACAATCTTTGATAAACAATTACTAGTACAGTACGTGTATAGGTTTAACAGAGCATTGCTCAGGTAAATTTCGAGGTACATCTTGACCAAAACTCTGGTATGAAGTGTAGCTTAAGTATATAACAGGATATAACTGTATCCACACGACACAAAAAAAACACACACACTGGACCATGACGTTAAGCTGTGCCATACGATATGGAACTCAAGACAAGACTGTTCACAGAGCCCATGGCGGTTTGAATACCGCCCCACAATGGGCGTCAGTTACTATCAGTATTCGACTACAAGTCGAATGCATTTGAATAAACATTAAATTCCATTTCTCTATCATTTTGACCTCACATACACAAGCGATTAAACATAATGTTTTAATGTTTACGACTTTGAAACCAATTCAAAACACCTATTACATGAATGACACCTTCATAACCCTGGACTCCAACTAACAGTTTTGTTTTCATTATCGAGCCTAGCTAGGTTCCCATAGTAGTCATGCAGACAGAGAAACTGATCCCGAGTCAGAAGTCTGTCTTGCAACATCTGTTGGATGTTCAGCTCAACTAACATATTGAATTCCTTATTAACGAGACATCTCAAGCTACCTCGATAATGCAACAAAATAGATGATGGAAATGTAATTATTGACTGCGATGCACTCAATGTAATGACGAGTAAATGCAATATGAAGAGCGTAGTGCAATCAAGACGCTTTTTTGTAGATTTGTCACTTTGTGAAAACGTTACTTCCTGCTCTATATTAAATCTGATTAATATGTAATTCCTTACAATTGCTTTCCCGATCCATTGGTTTATAATCAGCACAAAATGTAAACACATGTAACTTAACTTTAATAGATATAGTAACAGATGAAACATAACATAAACAGATATGAACACCCGTAAGTCATTGACGTTTTAAATTTCGAAGAACCTTTTGTTTGAGAGCCTTTGCATCTTATTTTAAGTGTGTGGAATGTAGAACAACATTCACTTGCGACTTCGTGTTTTCTCTCAAGCGTACATCATGGTTAACATATGACGAAGAGTCGCTAAAGAAATAATGACAATGGTCCTGAATAGGCAATGTGGATGTTATGATGGCCGTCAGGCACAGTACTATTCCGTGAATGGTGTTCCTCTGTATGGTCATCCTCTGTTAACAAGTCGACATGTCATATGCTGTTCGCGGAGATAACAACTGAACCTTTACATGCGGGCTGTGTTGAGGTAATTTAATATATAGAACTGATAGGAATCAAGAAACATGTCTGAAGACTTTTCTCTTGAATGGAAAAAAACATGTTAAATAGAATCTCTTAAAAGGCAATATATCCCGAGAAGGCATCCTGGAATGGGCAATATAAATGATTCGATGGCCGCAATGCTCAGCGCCTTGAAAAATAATCACCATCCTGTAAATGTATTAATTTAATATGATCATCCTCTGACATGAAGACTCGTATACCTACCAGATTGCCAAGGCTATACATGCAGTCCGTGTGCACCTTACAGTGCAAGAGAGCATTGCGGAAGCTGGCGTCGGCCGACTCGGTCTTGTCCAACTCTGCCTGTATAACTCCCAGGTTCATCCATGTCTCCACGTGGTCTGGGCTGGGAATATAGTGCATGCAGATTGAGTTTACGTAACTGTAACGTGTCAATATAGGGACCAAAACCAAAAGGGATGCAGCTCCGTTTGTGAAACCTGCCAACAAGGGACTTATGCTGATAGACCAAGGTTTATTTTCAGGTGAATCCAAGATTCAAACTCACAGGTAACGCCTTAAACCACTGGTCTACCGTGGGAAGAATCCTTGATCCATATAGTTTACAGCTTTGATTATAAGATTTGTTTGTTTGCTGTTTAACGCCACACTCAGCAATATTCCAGCTATATGACGGCGGTCTGTAAGTAATCGAGTCTGGACAGACAATCCAGTGATTGACAACATGAGCATCGATCCACGCAACTGGGATACAATGACATGTATCAACCAAGTCAGAGCAATAATACAATCGATATTGAAACGCACGTGCAGTAGACATTCCTTCACACGACGGATCAGTGCGCACTCGATTTTCATTCTTCGTTCCCTTGGAAGTAAACAACCCAAGCTGCCTTTGAGGCGATGGATGTTAACAGTCACATTATCATCTCATTCTACCGGGTACCCATTCATTGCGGGGTGATCTGAGGCACAGTCAAGCAATGTAGCCAATGAACTTCATCAAGGTCTAGTACAGTAGGCAGAACTGCTGACTGACAGCGTGTAGTAGGGCGAACATCGTACAGTACCTGACACTCACAGCTTTCTCAAGCAGCCCCTCCGCCTCAGCCAGTATGTCTTTGTCTTTCAGGATCGAGGCCAAGTTGCTGACCATTGCACAGACATATTGAGCGTTCAGTCTGAGGAAGTATTAAAATAGATCAAGAAGTTAAAATATATTAGCATAGGTGAGGTGAGGTGAAATGGGGTTTAACGTCGCGTCCAACATGATTACGTCGTGCATGCACGTGTGTGTGCGACTGCTTGTACTAGTCCGGACTGATGCCAATTTGTAGTACTTGTCCACTGAGAAACCATGCCGCGGTTTAACATGAATACCCTACTCAGACACAGTATACTAACTCCGAGCCGACCAGTCCTCGTTTTAGCCCCTTAATGCCGAGCGCCAAACAGGGTAACAACAAGTACCATCTATTAACGTTTTTTGGTATGACGCGGCCATGGATCGAACCCTGGACCTTCCGCTTTCCGTACGATCTCCTCTGTATCGTAACCTTGTGTTGATGAATAATTAACATGTCCGTCCTCACCAGTGGCACGAGTCACAAATACATGCAAAGGCAAGTCAATTGTTCAATTAAAAAATGCAGGAACATAAGGTACACATAGGGAATTACATAGGATATAATTTGTGAAACTGATGGAGCAGAGCATCGACATTAAAAATCTCGTTGAATCAACCATTTATACGTGATATCCTTTTCATTTTGGATCCATGGATATCGGAAACTGTTGCACGTGGAAACATGGCGACACTACTCTGTATACGTACTTCAAAGCCACCCTGAATTCATCAACAGCAACGTCAGTATTGTTGTTCTCCTTGTGTAGTCTAGCAATGTTGAAGTGGATCTGCGAACATGTGACATCGTCGGGTTACTGAGTGGTAGAGCCCCATCAACTACAGAGTATAACATTTGAAGCAGCAGTGTATCTCCATTATACCATTACAAAAACGTGACAGAACGTTTCACTGCAACAAGATGTGATTGGCATTTACGGAACCATATAAGGATTGGGGTCACCGCATGGTGGTCACGCGGACTGCTACATACCTTAGCATTCAGCGGACACACTTTGACTCCAGATGTGAATAATGCCATTTCATCTCGGTATTCCCTGCTTCTCTGAAGAGAAGATTCACAAGACTTTAAGACTCATCTGGCTTGTACTTTTGTAACGTCTCAATTAGTAATGGACAATTCCGTAAATAATGCACCAACTTCTTAATCCTTACCCTTTATGCTTAATCCCCACTGCCAAGGTATAAGCAATATGTTTTGAGTGAACGTTTGGCCCAAGTGTGGGCAACCATTTGTGTTATGGCTGTTGTGGCCTGTGTATTAACCTTCGTACTATTTTGAGTGATTACAAGGGAAGTTTATTTGAGGTCACGTTGCTGTGGACAATGGTTCCAGTTCATCACAGCTTAGCTTCGTGTTAGCTTAGTGTGGGAGGCAGGCCGATGTGCGTTGGCGCGAGTGTGCGGCACGGTGTGGCTGCTTGTGCTAGTCCGGCTTATGTCGATGTTACAGTGCAAGCCGACTGAGATATCATGCCGCAACTTTACAAGAATACACAACTCAGGCACATTACTCCGAACCAACCAGTCCTTGTTTTATCCCCTTATTGCCGAGAGACAGGCAATGATATAACAAGGACCATCCGTTTACTTTTTTTACTCTCCGGGGAGACGTTCTATCAACTAGACCACGGAGGCGGTCCCAGTATTACAATAAATAATCACTGCATATATGTAATGATAGTGAATGTAACTTACCTCATTCGAGCGAAGGACAAATACCAAAACAAGGAACATGAACACACCGGACACAAACTACAGAACAGAACACAATGTTGAAATCATCATTGACAGAACAGAATTTCAACAAAAAAGCCCAGTGGTTAAAGCGTTCGCTCGTCACGCCGAAGACCCGGGTTCGAATCCGACATGGGTACAATGTGTGAAGCCCATTTCTGGTGTCCCCCGCCGTGATATTGCTGGAATATTGCTAAAAGCGGCGTAAAACCAAACTCACTCACTCAACAAAAAAAGCCAGACCATCCTAAATTCTTTCATTGACTTCTATATAACTATTGGAGGTCAAAGTAAAACAACTATGCTGAAAACAGAATGTGTGTTACCTCCGTCCTGGGGAAGAATTTCATGTTTGCTCCCACCTCCCACTTAGTTACATGCGGACGTTTACACGTTTACAAAGTTACCTGTTTTGCTGTGAGATGAACATGAATGCAGATCTGCCTTGCCCCGAGCACCACCAACATACAGAAGCCAGCACAGGACAGGTACAGGATCCTCTCTGCGATCACGAAGCCCACACGGAAAAACAGGTTGCTGGCTGGCAGAAAGGGAATACCCAACACTGCCAGGGACGTTATCAGGATCCTGCAAGGTATAACACGGTAAAAGTACAACACTTTCTTTTTGCTAATGCTCGAATACATATGCATACGTGTTTCAATTTCACATACACACACGCACACACGCACACACGCACACACGCACACACGCACACACGCACACACGCACACACGCACACACACACGCGCGCACGCACACACACGCATACACACGCACACACGCACACACACACACACACACACACACACACACACATGGAAGTGACATAACCTCACCTATGTAATAATGGGTCTGTCAAACGTGAACCAAACATCATTGTAACCTAACTAAGCAAATTATAAAGTTTAGATATCTATTAACAGTACTACGTTATTGTGACATACATTGAAATCTCTGTTGATATATTAGACTTCGTGTTTTCGTGTGTTTTTTTCAATTTTAATTTCTGCCGAAAATGAATTTCCTGAACTAAACTCAAAACGACCCAGCCATACAGAAAACGTTGATTAATAACAAGCTATATAAATATATACATGCAAGATAATTACGTATTTTTTCTGTTAACAATGTGGTATTTACCACCAGGACACTTGTAAATGTAAGCGACATGAGCATGTGGTTATGATCACTATCAAATAGTAATGACGCCAGGTGTTCGCAAAAACGTGAGCGTCCCACAAGTAGCTCTCGTCCCAAACATATGCACTTACTTCACATGCAGTTACTTTACTTAATATTTCAAATGCATGTATATTGGACACATGCATATTAAACAATATACCTGCGATTTCTAGTGAGTTCACCCTTGTAGCAACCATAGAACAAGGCACCAAACCCAGTCCAGAGAGCTATGACTGCCAGTATTCTGGGATCAGCCAATGAGGTGATGACAGGTATACAGCCCATCGACCAATCACAACACAGCCACCATGGGTTTAATAGCAACCAAGTGTTCATTGCATAAATGTAGTTGTAGTTCAACATCTGAAAAAAAATTTGGAAGTCCTATTATTATTTGAATCCTAACAAACGTACTAATATTGATAATATCAAGATGAGTTCATGATGTTAACGTACAAGTTCAATATCAAGTTACAAAATTTCACAGCTATTTTGCCTTTTACGCCCAATGGCATCTGCTTCGTCGGATAATCGAGACTGGTTATTCTCTGGCGTTGACGGTCTATATGTGTATTCACATCCATGATAACGTGTCAGAGGGAATATGTTTCTTAGGGTATCGTACTGTGTGACATTCAAATGTTATCAGAAAACCTATACAGCATCTCACCTTCATCAGTGTGCCCTCTACCATGGCATGTGGATTATCATCCTCAGAGAAGTTAGGTGTTGATGATCTCATTATCCAGAGCCTACTGATGAGAAGTACCACGCCAGTCAGTAACAGGACGAGATGACGTTTGATGAGACCCAAAACCCATTTTTGCTGTAACCAAAACAGCAGATATAAAAACAAGCAGCCTAAACCGATTATCCATGCATCACCCATTGCATGTTTAGATTCCATTTGGGGGCACGGGTGGCCCAGTCGTCTAAGGCGCCGCAATTCGCTGTGCAAAGTTGTGTCGCACGCTAGAAACCTATGATTGTGGGTTCGAATCCCGGTTCGCCCCGATTATGTTTCTAGGTTTGTCAGCGCCATACCTGTGCTCTCGGGTTTCACCGAAGTTGTAAACGTCTGAGACCTGCATCACTTCGGGCTTTCCTCTCACATTAAGCTGACACGCCGTGATATAACTGTAATACTGTTAAAAGCGGCGTTAAACCCAAATCACTCACTCACTCACTCAGATTCCATATGTTAAGGGCAATGTTACTTGGACATATACTCAGTCATATCACTATGTGTCACCTTATTGTTGGAGGAAAGGAAAGAATGTTGTGTTATTAGCTTTCATTTTATTCGTTTATTGTGTTTGTAATATGACTCTCCATCAACCCTTTGTTTCGGGTTGAGGTGAGTAATTTCTTTAAATGAGAAAACAAGAACCAACTAAACTAAAATATATACCAATGTTTGCTTGTGGCTTAACTTGAAACAAACAAGAAAATGTTGTTCGATGGTGATGTATTGATACAGGTTTCATAGTTCTGTTTTTGAAACTGAACCTCAAATGTATTCTTTCTTTTTCCGGCTGTTTATCATTTCAGACAGACAGACAGCCTATATTCACCTCCTCGACATGACCATCATATGACAAACAGGATATGGGCCAGTTTGCAGTTATTGTATAGAGAGAGAACCAGTTCAAGCAATATGTTTAAGCAATATAATTGAGGACGAGCAGTTCATATAATTCTGTTATTAAAGGTTATTATTTCGTTCACATTCACCTTGCTCTTGATGTGATGGTTTTTGAATGACATCAGCTGGAAAGGGTCGACTCTACACACAACGACGATGTCAAACACGCTACAAATACCCTGCAAATACAACACACATGTAAACTTGAGGCATTGCAAGAGCATGTAACTAACAGCTACACACAACAACGGTGTCAAACACGCTACAAATTCGCTGCAAATACAACACACATGTAAACTTGAGGCATTGCTAGAGCATGTAACTAACAGCTACACACAACAACGGTGTCAAACACACTACAAATACCCTGCAAATACAACACACATGTAAACTTGAGGCATTGCAAGAGCATGTAACTAACAGCTACACACAACAACGGTGTCAAACACGCTACAAATACCCTGCAAATACAACACATATAAACTTGAGGCATTGCTAGAGCATGTAACTAACAGCTACACACAACAACTGTGTCAAACACACTACAAATACCCTGCAAATACAACACACATGTAAACTTGAGGCATTGCTAGAGCATGTAACTAACAGCTACACACAACAACGGTGTCAAACACACTACAAATACCCTGCAAATACAACACACATGTAAACTTGAGGCATTGCAAGAGCATGTAACTAACAGCTACACACAACAACGGTGTCAAACACACTACAAATACCCTGCAAATACAATACGCATGTAAACTTGAGGCATTGCAAGAGCATGTAACTAACCTCTACACACAACAACGGTGTCAAACACACTACAAATAGCCTGCAAATACAATACGCATGTAAACTTGAGGCATTGCTAGAGCATGTAACTAACCTCTACACACAACAACGGTGTCAAACACAATACAAATACCCTGCAAATACAATACATATGTAAACTTGAGGCATTGCAAGAGCATGTAACTAACAGCTACACACAACAACGGTGTCAAACACGCTACAAATACCCTGCAAATACAATACGCATGTAAACTTGAGGCATTGCAAGAGCATGTAACTAACCTCTACACACAACAACGGTGTCAAACACACTACAAATAGCCTGCAAATACAATACGCATGTAAACTTGAGGCATTGCTAGAGCATGTAACTAACCTCTACACACAACAACGGTGTCAAACACAATACAAATACCCTGCAAATACAATACGCATGTAAACTTGAGGCATTGCAAGAGCATGTAACTAACAGCTACACACAACAACGGTGTCAAACACACTACAAATACCCTGCAAATACAATACGCATGTAAACTTGAGACATTGCAAGAGCATGTAACTAACAGCTACACACAACAACGGTGTCAAACACGCTACAAATACGCTGCAAATACAACACGCATGTAAACTTGAGACATTGCAAGAGAAAGTTTAGAACCTCACTATCACAATTTAGATGTAGTCCACAGAGATTAATGGTTGAACCAGGTAGGCACAATAATGCACCAAGAAAATAGAGATTGTGTACGCAATGTAATGCAAATTCAGTGGAGGATGAATATCACTTTTTGTTATATATATGTCATGTCAATTAGAAAGTAATGTGTGTGCACAGCCTTTCTGCTTATACATTGTAATACATGTACTATGGACCTGTGGCCTTTCAGGATTGAGAATAGGGAGATTGATTGATTGAAGAATGACTGTGGATGTAGCTGCGATGGCAGATATTTTGCCTATGTCGTCTATTTCAGCTCACTCATACATGTACTGGGATGGGAAACAGGATGAGGTGTTTCGCAAACACCTGGTGTCATCACTGGTTTTCAATAATCCATTCACATAATTTTCACCGCTAGTTTGCCTTTTACTCCCAATCGAATCTGTTACGTCGGTAATCAAGACTGGTTAATCTCTGGCGTTGACCTTTTTTATGTATTTGATATAGTGTTTTAGTAAGGCAGACTTTACCATGGAGAAAAAATCATATTGCAAATACCTCTCTAAAATTGGCATACTGTCTTAGTTGTTGAATCCACAACGTGATCTCTGTAACCGATTTATACAGCTATTATACTTCATAGAGATGAGTTTGTGCAACATAAGGTTACCTTTAATTTCTCTGGGACAGTTTGTTGACCCAGTTGTAAAAGTGTTGGCTGACCAAGAGAATCTAGGTAAGGGTACAATCTCTGAATAAAAGTACCAGAGTTCCCTACCTTATAGACCTGCAATTCCGACGATATACGTACTATAACAGTGATGCCCTGTTCCTTACAGAAGGTGGACACGACACACAGACACATACTGGCCAGTGGAGACACCAGGGAGAAGGACTCGGGACGGTAACTGACCAGGGATGAAACACTGAATCTACTTACTATGACAGTGATGCACTGCTCCTTACAGAAGGTGGACACCACACACAGACACATACTGGCCAGTACAGACACCAGGGAGAAGGACTCGGGACGGTAGCTAACCAGGGATGAAACACTGAATCTACTTACTATGACAGTGATGCCCTGCTCCTTACAGAAGGTGGACACCACACACAGACACATACTGGCCAGTACAGACACCAGGGAGGAGGACTCGGGACGGTAAATGACCATGGATGAAACACTGAATACACTTACTATGACAGTGATGCCCTGCTCCTTACAGAAGGTGGACACGACACACAGACACATACTGGCCAGTACAGTCACCAGGGAGAAGGACTCGGGACGGTAACTGACCAGGTATGAAGCTGAAAGAACAGATGTCACTGCATACAAAAGTGTTAGAAACAAGTACAGGGTGACAGCGAATTTCAAAAATATTATCTACATGAGTACATACAAGTTATTACAAAATTAATTTTTCCTTTAAGACTGCAGACAAGCTGTTGCAGTTGCGTCCAATGCGTCTAAGGACCTCATAATATCAACGAAACGCCATATAAGTTGTAAATATTGCATACACACAAGACGCATCAATAATGTAGGCAAACAAACTTACAGTCGAGGCAGGCCCTCGCGTACAGAAGGAATGACAGAAGGAAGGTCAAGGCACAGAGCAGGTCGGCCCGACCCACGACCCCAGCAACCTGGAACAGAACGATGCCAAGGACATCTTGTGTAGTTTAATGTTTGATTTATAAAGCTAACTTGAGATTCGAGTTTCTCCAGATCTTGAATTGTTGTACGTGTGTGAGCATCGTTGCAGTGAGAATACTGGAATTTGTTCAGCCACATTGTCCTTTACAACAACAAAAAAGTATAGAAAAAGCAGGATCTCAATATCTGTTGAAGAAGATGGTCATTTCAGATGAAACAAAAGAGGGCATGTATAATTCCTATGTGTATTAAAAATGTGAAGATTGTTTATATCATGCACATGTTAAATTCGTCCCATTAAATAACTTGAGGTCAATGGACAGTTTGTACTCACACTTTCAGTGTGAATGGGATGAACTGCAAACAACACAGCACACAGGAGAGCAGCTCGGGGCGAGGCAAACACCGGTCTAGCAGATTCCTGGTCCACCTGGTAACCAGACATGAGGACAGAGAATACTGCCAGGAAGATGACCGACACCAAGCCGTGCAGGACGATGTTGACAACGTGGAAGCCTTCAGGGTGCAGAGATCCTGACCATGCGTAGTTCCATCTGCAATGGAAAGTTCCCCGTGGAAGTGATGCTGGGAACTGCAATGTGACGTTTTATGGACTTGTTGTAATGCGTTCTAGTATCTCACCTGTAGGTCATCACAGTAAGTGGTCTGTAGGACATGTGACTCTTTCCATCCAACACCTGTCCCCAGAAATCATGAGCAAATATGGCTGTGAGTGGGGTCTCGGGTAATACATCTCGGTTGTTGATGATGGCCCATGTGTCGTCATACACAAAACCTGCATCGTGGCTGTTCGCGAAACACAGTACCGCCAGACAGAAGACGAGGACAGATGCCACAGAGAAGCTGAGTTTGGGTACAGGCAGCGCATCATCCCACTCTGGTTGCTGGTCGCTGCTTACATGGCCATCGGTCTTGGAGGATTTACTTGACCATCTGCCACTGCTTGCCATCATCACCACGAGTATGGAATTCTGTAGAAAAGATTACATATGCAATCCCATATAATCACCATATGACAATACCACAAAATATTAACCATAAAAGAAATCAGCAGTCAAATTTTGGAGCATTGTAGGCTTTCTTCAGTGCCGGTAAATTTGCAATACACAGAACAGCTGTAACAGACTCATCAGAATTCAAGACTGAGTATGTTACACATGTAATGTGAAGAACTACAACACACATCAATACACAGACTTGGCAACATCCGTTGTCATAACTTATTTTCAGATAACCATTCATATAATTTCCATTTCTATTTTTGCTTTCTACGACCAATGAATCTGCTTCGGTATATAATCGAGACTGATTATTCTTTGACATTGTCTTTTTATATTTCTGTAAAAATCACTTACCTTCTGGCAGTCAGATAATTGGAAAACCTTATCTACAGAAAACTGCACTGTGTCATCTTTAAGTGGGGGACCGCCATATATTGCGGTTGCATAAAAAGCTGTAGCGGTGGCCTTGAATAGGCAGCAATCGACCGTATGTACACGTATATGAATAATATAGAATAAAATCACCGAGGGATTTAATACGAATCGTTTGTTCTTTGTATGGTAACATGAACAAAATATTCGCTACAAGCTGTTCAATATGAATTAGTGAGTACATAGATAGATGTGTTAGGCAATTACATCATGTGAAATGATGCATGACAATGTAAAAATGTTTGCATGTCACTGTCTTCATTTAGTGTCTAGCATACATCTGCCAGGTAGTCAAAGTATACACGTTGCAAAGCAGTTTAAAACGTCATATGGCTTCACTGTGGTCAGGGGGCGGTCGGGTAGCCTAGTAGTTAAAGCGTTCGCTTGCCACGCCGAAGACCCGGGTTCGATTCCCGACATGGTGCAATGTGCGAAGCCTATTTCTGGTGTCCCTCGCCGTGATTCCGTATGTTCAATGTATGTGCCTGTGCGTCCTGTGGCACATACTAACTGTCGGCGTGTCACATGTTGTATTGATAGAATGCTCCTTTACCAACAGGCTGCAAGCTTGAGGTCGATCCTCCAATATTCGCTAGTTGTGATCTGTCCTCTCAGGGAGGTGAGGTGAGGTGTAATTGGGTTTAACGTCGCGTCCAAGGTTATTGCACTTATATAGCGTGTGTGTATGTGTGTGTGTGTGTATGTATGTGTGGCTGCTTGTTCTAGTCCGGACTGATGCCGATTTTTAGTGCTAGCTCACTGAGATACCATGCCGCAGTTTAACATGAATACCCCACTCAGACACTTATATAGCAACATACATGCACGTGTGTGTGTGTGTGTGTGTGTGTGTGTGTGTGTGTGTGTGTGTGTGTGTGTGTGTGTGTGTGTGTGTGTGTGTGTGTGCCGCAGTTTAACATGAATACCCCACTCAGTCACAGTATACTGACTCCGACCAGTCCTTGTTTTAGCCCCTTAACAACAAGTACCATCTTTTAACGTCTTTTAGTAAAATGCGGCCGGGGAGCCTCTCAAGGATGTTTAACATTTGGCTATGTATGGTACGAGCAAGACATTTTGTTTGCATACAACGAATTTTTTTAACAACCGAGTCTCAATACAAAATACTTAGTAAGGTGTTCTACAAAGTACCATGACGAAGTCTTCATATGCCTTAGCTCTATATATGTAGGTATGGATAGAAGTCTCATATGGAAGCGTTAATGTCAGCAGACAGAGTGATTTATCTCTTTCAGCTGTCAGGATTTTAAGGTCGTGTTTAGACAACAGATACATCAGTTCCTTGATGATTTCTTTTCGGATTATTTTACTCTGGAAGCATTGTTAGAGATACATGTGTGACCAACCATGAGATAAGACAGACAGACAGAATTTTATTCAGTAAAGAAGGCCACATGACCCATAGTTACAATATATTTTGGATGCGCTCTATTAGCTAATACACCTCAATATAAATATAGAAACAGATAGCTCTATTAGCTAATAAACCTCAATATAAATATAGAAACAGATAGCATACTGACAGTGATGGGATTATATAAAGTGTTATATAAATCTGACAAACTAAGATTTTCCAGACGCTTCAGTTAGTTGTTTTCTTTTCTTAGTACAGTGAACCCTGAAACATTTCAAATAGTGATAACTGTAAAAAAACCATGAGATAAGGGACCTTATGGTTGCAAAATCACATTTTTTACTTTTAATTATATTCTAAAACTACAATATCGGAACACTGAAACACAATTCACACGCTCCAAGTCATATTTATTACAATGATACATGACATCAACCATTTGGACTCATTTTCCGACTTATAACTGTTCAAGTAATAATTGCAGTTTTTAGCCATAATGTCTGATGACATTGAAAAGTAGACATGTATGCAGAAAGATTTTGACATAATGATTTTATTACATTACGAACTAACGAGAGAATTGTTTTTGTACAGTACGCATACATAGCAATCTTCACTGAAGTAAGTTCACGTCAAACGTCTTTATGACTTCAAAGCACAATTGTATCCTTGTACCCATAAGGTCTCTTTTCCCCTGGTGGGTCACATACATTATAAGTTGTCCACGCGTCTCGAGGGGAGATGGGTTATATACTAACATAGAGGGAACATCAACCAATGTCCCCTCGAGGTATCGCTAGGCAAATAACATATCTACCGCACACCTAATTATAGTTGGTCCGAATCGGTAGAATACCACAGTTAGGCATTTATCGACTTAGTTCATTTTTCCCATTCATCGAAGCAACAGGTGACAAAAAACAAATTTATTTCCCCTAGATCTACTTCATTCGGAAAATGTCGTAAATATCCGGAAAATGAGGTCTTACCTAATTAATTCTAGATACAAAATTACGGTTGGCATGTTTTAAATGTAATGCCGTCAGGTCGTCAATACGAGCTGGGAACATAAGAGTTGTACCTTACATGTACATTGAAAATAATAACATGGGTCTTAGCCAATCAGAATACGGCATTCGTGTATAAGGAAGGTTAAATGTCATGATATCCCACCTTGTCATTTACCCCACAGAGGCGCGAGACATAGCCTTGAACTGTTATGTACACTATAGTTATTAATATTCATAATTCTTTTTGTCATAACTCTGTAAAACTTCCAGATGACTATAAAGACTCTGAGATACAACCAATCAGAGTTTGTATCACAGCGTTATTTACAAAACTAGGACAATGACGCATGTTAAAATCGTGAAACGTGTCCTTTAGAACACTGAGTGGGTGTCGGTTGGATCTATCGAATGACATCATTTCTTACCTTGACGGGGTACGAGTGGCAAGGTTGTCTGGGACGCCACAAATCACGTTGCAAGCCGTGCCAGGAGCCACACGTGGTGGGCTTGAATCCCTTGGTTTGTCAGCACAAAACTTCACAACCTGCGTCACTTCAACTTCCCTCCTATAAGGACGACACGCCTTTTAACGGATTGATGTTCGTATATTAATACCAATTACGTGGAATGCGTTCGAGAACAGTAACACAAATTGCAAACATAAGTTGTGCATTTAGTGCATTCTCGCGTGTATCGTTCAAACCCATGACACAAGAAACGTGGATTTGTGCAGTCGATACGGCACATATGTTCACACAACAATCTATATTGGACTCAATAGGACTCCTGCGACACAAACCGCTATGTGAATGGCTATATTTTAGTACGTGAATTTACACCTACATCCGTGTGTAGACATATGACTTGTTGGAGGATAGGTGTGTCATGCGAGTAGCAAGCATGCTATCGGGAAGGTAATTTGAGGACTCTTATGACAACGTGGTCTTTTTGTGTCAGCCAGCATTGCCAGACACAGAGGTACCGGTGTGAGTTGGAAACGCAGCATGCTGTACACAGATCAGTTACGTGGTGGCATCCCATGCTTGCCGTAAAAGGTGACTATGCTTGTCGTAAAAGGCGACTAACGGGATCGGGTGGTCAGGCTCGCTGACTTGGCCGATGCATGTCATCGTATCCCAGATGCGTTGATCGATGCTCATGATGTCAATCACTGGATTGTCTGGTCCAGACTCGATTATGTACAGACCTCCGTCATATAGCTGGAATACCGCTGAGGGCGGTGTTAAGCAACAAACGAACAAACGAACGAAGAAGTTACGTGGTTGTGAGACAGCTATTATTACCCCATGTTCCGTGTGTTGGGGCATGTCACATGATTGGGTAAAGCTATGACTGATAAAAGAATGCATCCAATATGTGTAACGCTTGGACACATGACATGACATCAACAGATATTTTACCAGCCATTTCATATGCTGTCGGGGGCACAGGTGGTCTAAAGCGCCGCGATTCACTGTGCAGAGTTGCGTCCCTTGGGCCCGCCAGAAACCTCTGAAATCGCCCCGATTATGTTTTTAGGTTTGTCAGCACCATACCTGTGCTCGTGGGTTTCACCGAAGTGGTAAACGTCTGGGACCTGCATCACTTCGGGCTTTCCTCCCACATTAAGCTGACACGCCGTGATATAACTGGAATAATGTTTAAAGCGGCGTTAAACCCAACTCCCTCACTCATATGCAGTCGGAGACCTTCATCACTTTCTTTCTCTTCCAACACCAGACTGCGGTGGGCGAGTCAGGTTCGACGCTGGCATGTGAGAAATTGGCGTCGAGTGCTGTTTACTGATGAAAGTCGGTTTAACTCGTTTCGAAATGACGGCAAAGAACGAGTTTATCGACGCAGAGGGGAACGTTTGGCTCCGGTGTGTATTCGAGGGGTCCATCCATTCGGCGGGGGAGGTGTCATGGTGTGGGGCGATATTTGTGGAGATCAGAAGACTGATTTGGTGATTATACAGGGAAACCTGAATGCTGTGCAGTACACAGACCACGTGTTGCAGCCAGTTGTGCTTCCGTTCTTAAAAAAACCAACAGCAGGGGACATTGTTTCAACACGACAATGCCAGGCCCTATACTGCAAGTCTGACTCGGAACCAAACCAGCAGAACGTTGTCGTTTTGCACTGGCCTGCCCACTCACCCGATATGAATCCTACTGAACATCTGTGGGACCATCTTGACAGACAGATTAGAGCACGCCATCAGCCTCCCATCAACAGATAAGAATTGCAGCAGGCCCTGAGAGACGAGTGGCAACGGATTCCAGTCCACGTCATCAGAAGACTGACGTCATCGATGAGGCGGCGTATCACAGCATGCAATGAGGCAGCTGGAGGTCATACACGCTATTGAAGGCAACTGTGTCGACAATGAACCTGTAGTGTGTCTGACAAAAAAAAAAATTACATTTCAGACAACTTTAGAAAATTAAATTTCTTACCCCGTCATTGTTTACCTTAGGTTTCTAATACCAGTGATTGCACAATTCCATTCAAACTGTGGTTGATCAATAATTGGTTACCCCTCCCTAGATTATATTATAATTCACAAAAAAACCTCTTCGTGTTATTTTTGTATCGATCATGGAACTCGACCTATACTTTCTTTTGCAGCCCACTTTACAATACAGAGAGTCTACTACATGATATATACAACTCAAAACAAGTTAAGGGTAATAACATTTGCTGTTGATATTTTGATACAATACAGAAAGAGAAATATTATAAATTCATTGTAATAAAGTTTGGTCAGATGTGAGTACCAGAAGCATGCAAATCAACACGTGAGACGCGCCATGGAAGCCCCAGACAATACGTCAGCAGTGAGGAGTCAAACCGAATTCTGTTACACAACGTTTACCAAGTTAATACCGAGTGAAACAACCTCGTGCTCGTAAACAGTCGACACACCGTTCAGGTAGCTGTCGATCAGATGTTGAAAGAACGGTTGTGGAATGAAGGAACTGGGCCAATTCTTGAAGGGTATCAGGATGTCTATGATTGTCTCTCACTCGTCTGCCCAACTCATCCCATGCATTCTCAATCGGTGCCAAATCAGGCGAGTATGCAGGCCAATCCATTCGCTGAATGCCATTTTGGTTGAGAAAATTATTCACGAGCCTGGCACAATGGGGTCTAGAATTGTCATCTTGAAGAAGCGAAACAGCTCCAATTTGGCGAGGGGGAACAACAAATGGGTGTAAAATCTCAATCTCTGTATCTGATACCGGTCAGATGTCCTTGGACTTCATAAAGAGGAGCCCTTGGAACACAGAAATTCCATCCCAAACCATCACTGTACCGCCGCCAAAATGATAACGCTATCTGACGTTGACGTCAGCAAATACGTCAGCAAATCTCTCTCCAAACTGTGAGTAGAGTCTGCCATCGTTGAATTGTAAAGCAAACCTAGATTCATCCGTGAAGATTATCCGTCCCCGCTGACGACTCGCCCTGTCTCTGTGACGTGTTCACCTGGCCCTACTGCATGACCATGATGAACTTTCAAGTGATAACATCACGATCATGGTAGCGATTTGTATGTCCTAATTGTTCACAGTGAACACAGACTGCGGGTGCATTGACAAAACAAACGCACAATGATCGGGCAACACTGCGTTCGGGCGATGCAAACAGTTTCGTTGACCCATGTTTTTCAGGCTGAATTGGTGATTTGTCAAAAGATTTTCACAGTCGATGTGGTTGCATGTGAATACGATTTGCACACACTTCAAAGCTTTAGGTCACATTAAACTCATTTCAACCTGTCTTGCCATTAGAAATGTCTAATTTGTCAAATTAACGATCGTTCAGGAATATACGTTTGACCCTTAACTTATTTTGAGCAGTATATCAGGACGACTACTCTACCACTAAACCAGATTGTCCTGCTGCTCCGGTAGGCTATTTTCAGACGTATTGAAATATGCCTCCATCCACCATTTACATATTTTATGTAAATACTCCTTTTACCTTATATACATCCCGTATTCGACGTAATAAGCATCTAGGGCGCTCTCAAAATTAGAAATAGGGGGCTCTTATTAGAATATTATTTTGGTGGAAAAAACAGAGTTGAAAGATACATTTCGTGGTTTATGCTGACGTTCTGACTGTTTATATGCGACAGATATATTTTTCCAGAATTTAATTGCCCATAATTAAGGGTGCATATAACACACGAGTGCGTATTATACACGAATAAATAAGTCTTGTGTACATTGATCAATCGGAAGGGGTGCTTATTGGAATTGATTACTTGCCAATGTATTAGCAAATATCGCCGTGGGCGCTTATTAGAGCGGGACGCTTTTTATGTCGAATACGGTATTATCATTTCATATTGATTCAACTGATATGAAAGCTGAGCAGGCCCTTTATCTTATCTTTTATGTATGTATATAAACTTGATCTGAACATATCTACAGGATAAATGCATGGGTTTGAGGTCTACAAGCAAGACTTGTAACATTTAAACAATACTACAGGAATTATACTCTGAGCAGTATCATGTTTGCGTCTTTCAGAGTGGTAAAATATATTTTGCGATGATATATTTTCATTATTATGCAGAAGAATGTAGTTTATTAGGGATATGATAATGGCGCTGAACCAGCTGAACACATCCAAATATCGCTAGTGTTAGGGTAGGTTACCCCAAACTCTATCCTCAGCCCTTGGATCCCCTTTACGATCAATCACTACTTTTCGATCATTAGGGTTAGGTACCCGTTTAGTGGCTATTAGATTACCCGAATTCTGTCCTTAGCCCTTGGATCAAATATATATATAAATATATCTATCTTCAAACAAACTCAGCACTATCAGTCTGATGACCTTTGCTGATAGCAAATATGACACTCATAGGACGAGTTAGAGTCCACATTATCTAAAGTATCCATTGCAAAGCAAGGATCAGTAAATGTTAATCACAGTGCATTTGTAAATAAAATATGAAGATAAAATATCATTCTTTATCATTAGTTAGTTTCAAAATAAGGCTCATTTACAATTAAATTTACGATATAGATAAACTATAGTCTATTAAATAAACTATAAGGCTGAGATGTTGATCCATTGTATTGGACAAACACCATTGCCCGTCGTGAAGACAACAAGTACTTTTTTCCTAAGAAGGTTTAAGGATCTGGTACAATATAAAAACAACCAATCACTCATCAGTCCAGGATCATGCATTTGATTCTACCCTGTCTAATCGGGTTCTTCAGTGCCAGCAATGGACTAATGAAACATTCTCACATTAAGGAAGAAATGATGGAAAATAAGGCAGAAGAAATATTCGACAGCGTTGGCATCAAGTTGTGTCATGAAAGATGTACAACCAGAAGTTTATGCAGAAGCTTTGGCTACGATTCGGTTAACCTGATGTGTTATTTGTTGAGACTGCAGCTGGAGCAGACAGTGAAATGTGGAAGATTTCTCTTAATACCAAAACCAAACACAAATGTAAGTATTTAAAGGATTCTGTAACGTGACTTGCATGACAGGAATGTTGAAGAATGTTTCAACACGTTTTATAGCTAAAATGGATAGAATTATCATTAAACCACCTGCATGTTATCAAGAATCAGCGGGCCACTGTAACTTGATAATGCCCTCATATTGCTTGACGATGGGACATTATCACGCCCGTTGTTAGGTGACGTCATAGGGTAGGGATAAGTGACGTCATGTGGTTTGTTCTATGACATTTCCATAT